CTGTCCTGTGCCAGGGAGCACTGACTTTCCTGAGCCCTGGGCACTTTTGATTGGCTTGGGTCGAGATCTTAACACATTTTTTCCCTCTGCTTTGGTATAACCATGAATCCAATCCAGGCTAGATTCCTTTGTTATATATTCATTACTATTACATCCACTTTTTGCTTCTGATTCAAAAGAAATTAAAACATTTTTGTGGGTCCCTAAAGATGTGTGGGGGAGATCCTCCATTCAACTGACCACTCGGGTCAGGAGCACAGGGAGTTCAGAGTGGGAAGGAGACCCACATGCTAACACTTCAAAATGTCAGTCTACTGCATTTCCAGCACCCACGCCACTCCTGTGCTCCAAACCCTGCCCAGGAAAACGTCAGGGCTCTCCCCACTGTCAAGGTCCTCCATTAGTTGCTTCCTATCTGCTTTTCCAGTCTCATGTACCTTTGCTTCTGACACCACCTACCTTGGTGTTTCCGGAACAGCCCAGGCTTCATCACACCTGCCCACCTTTGCTCAGGCTGGTTCCTCCACGGGGAGCATTCCCTTCCCACCCGTGACCACGTATCAGACATGCCTCCCTATCCTTCCAGACCCAGCTCAAATGTCACTTCTCCGTGAGACCTCCTGAGCACCCACCACCCCCTCCACACCCCACCATGCATGTCTCCGCTCTAGCACTTACTCGCCCTTTACGTCTATTTCTTCCCTTCCACTGTGAACCCCTTGAGGGCAGGGACCACGGCTGGTTTTTCTCTTGGTCCTCAGTGCCCAGCACTTGGCCTGGCACACAGCAGGTGCTCAATGAATGCTGAACACATAAGCAGGCTGAGTGAATGACTGAATGAATGAGGGAGACAGGAAAGGAGGGCAGTGGTCCGCTCAGCGAAGGGGTCTGCTCTGCAGCCCCCTGCGGAGGGAGGGTCTGGACCCACGGCTGGAGCCAGGGCTGCCTCCCCTCCTGGCCTCGCCCTCTGACTCACCCCTCCCCAGAGACTGGTTTCTGGGAACACGCTGACAGCTTGGCTGGCCTCCCTGGCTGGATCCTCTGTGTTGACCACGTTCTGCTCCGGGAGTCTCTGTGCTCAGAGGCTGTGCTCCTGGGCTGCAGGGCCCGGGCCAGGGCCAAGGCAGTGGTGGGTGGGGGTGGGGGGATACAGAGGGGGCAGTACTTCCATGTCGGTGGCAGGGACCGTGCGCAGAGGGGTTGGAATGGCTGTGTGGGAGGCAGGGTTTGAGCCCGGCTGGCAGGCAGCCCCCCAGAACCTCCTCCTTCCTGCTGGAGTGGAGTGCGCGGCAGGATGCCAGGTGCCCCATGGGAATCTCGGGGAAAAGGGGGTGACAGCATCTCCGGCACAGGTTGTCACGCAAACCAAATGAGAAACTTGTGTGGGTGCCTGCTGTGCAGGTGGCATCTAGTGGGTGCTAAAGAGGCATCATCTGGGGTGCAACATGGCAACCCAAGACCCTATCGTGAATGTTGTTGCCCCTGGGGATGCCTGGCTCCTGAACCTCTTTACTCTACCCAAGCCCTCCTCCCCTCCCCCATCCCATCTTCTCAGGTAGGTCCCTCCTGGCACAGATGCTGATGGTGCTGTCACTGGCCTTCCCAGCCCTGCGGTGACGAGGGGGGATGCCACAGTGCAGAATGTGCGACAGCAACACCTCGGCGGTTGGTGTCAGCCTGGGATGAGGGGTTGGCACTTGGGGTGTCTGCCCCAAGCCACTTCTGGCATGTACTTTGGGGCATTGTTCTTGGCTGGGTGAGCCCTTTGGGCCTGGTTCTCTGACCCTCCCAGAGAATCTGTGACAGACTCGATAGCCTCCTAAAGAATCTGTTTCTGTTTAAATTAGAGCTGGTTTCTGTTGTTTGGAGCCAGAAACCAGGACAGCGTGGCCCAAAAAAAGGCAAGGGGGGTTGTGGGTAGCATCATTAAAGGTCTAGTGCCCAGACAAAGGGAGGGTTTAGTCTGTTCATGTTTGCTCTGAGCAGCACAGCACAGCAGGGAAGCCCAACCCTTCTCGAAGAGAAGGCCCGTGACAAACTGGAGGCTTTCTAGGGACAATGACCAGGTCAGTGTGGGAGCTAGGACTCATGACAGGGGTGGGAAGCCTGGCTTGGAGCTGAGCAGGCTGAAGGCGCTGAGGAGAACAGCCATAGTTTAGGCTTCAAGGACCACTCTGGGTAGCTTGGTGGGGTGGGGGTCCAGCCATTCTCATAGCTGGAATAGTTTGAAGATGGAGAGAGCTGCCTCTGGAGGAGGTAAGCTCCCCAGTACTGGAGGTAAACAAGGCTGGATCCTGGAGGGGACAAAAGAAGCCCAGCCTGGGCTTCCCTGGCTTGCCTTGGGGGGGGGGGGCGGTATCTCCAGGCTAGGGAAGGGATCATACCAGCCTGCAGTATCGCTCCAACAGAAGACTTAGCAGAGTCCTCTGGCCCCCACCCACCACCTGGCCTCGGTGACAGCCCACAGTGTTGGGGGAGGGGTGTGGAGTAAGCCCCCAATCTACCAAGAAGCCAACAAAGCTTCTTCTCACTCTCCAGGTGACCTGGCCCACATTCAAGGAGCGGGGGTTGGGACATGCCTGATGAATGACAAGGCTGAGGGGGCAAATCTCAGCAATCATGAAGTTTGATAGTGGCCTGATATACTAAAAAAAAAAAAGGCCTGATATACTACCTAAAAAAAAAAATACCTCGAGTACCCTGAGAAACCATTATGTTTCCACTGATTACGTAGACAGAGATCACAGACTGATAACAGAGCATGCTGGGTGCTGGGGATGACGGGGAGCTGGCACGCTCCTGTATGTCGGTGGCCGTGTAGCAGGAAATCTGTGTCCTACACGCACACATCTTCTGGCCCAGAGATTCTGCTTCTAGGAATCTATCCTTGGCTGCATTTGCTCACGTACGATATGATGTGTGAGCCACGCTATTGTTTGGTGAAAGCAATCGCCCATCAACTCACAGGAGACCCATCAAAGAGATGATGGTACGTCCATACTGGAAAACCGGGCAGTTGGCAGAGAATGAGAATTTTTTTAATGCATAAATATGTATGGCTTTCCAAGATAAAGTAAGAGAAACTGTAGGCAGAACCTGTTAGCTACTATTTGCATGTAAAGGAAAAACATGTATGTCTGCTGCTGCATCGTAGGCAGAGACTGTCTTCAGTAGGCTGCACAAGGAATCAGGGGTGTGGATGCCTTGGGGGAGGGAATTTGTGTGGCTGGAAGAGTAGGGCGATTGTCTTTTTATTGAAAACACTTTATTGAAAACACTTATTTATGGAGCCTACTTAAAAAATATATATATAAAGTAGGCCCCACACCCAATGTGGGGCTTAAACTCACAACCCTGATATTAAGAGTTGCATGCTTTATCAACTGAGCCATCCAGCCACCCTGAAACCATCTTTTTAAAGTAATCTCTATGGGCAGCCCAGGTGGCTCAGTGGTTTAGCGCCGCCTTCGGCCCAGGGTGCAATCCTGGAGACCTGGGATCAGGTTTCACGTCGGGCTCCCTGCATGGAACCTGCTTCTCTCTCTGCCTGTGTCTCTGCCCCTCTGGTGTGTGGTGTGTGTGTGTGTGTGTCTCATGAATAAATAAATAAAAATATTTTTTAAAAACAGTAAAGTAATCTCTACATCCAAGGTGGGGCTCAAACTTAAAACTCCCAGACCAAGAGTCACATGCTCTATGCTGAGCCAGCCAGGTGCCCCTCCTTTTTTTCTTTTTAAGGAAGCATTGAAAGCATTGTAAATATTTGATATCTTTCGAATTTGGCAAAGTATGCACGTGTTGTATAAATAACAGAATAGGAAAAGAAAACAGAAGGTAAGAGAAAACAGAACCTGTGCTAGGCGCCCACACATTCAATGTTTCCTGGGTATCTATGGCAGGTGTCTCTGCTCCCTCTTTGCTGGGGATTAAATGGAACCAGCTCATCGAAGATCAGAAAGCCACTCAGAGTGACCAGCAAGGGAGTGCTGAGCAGTGGTGTTTGGGGAAGTGCCCTCCCGGGGCAGACAGATGCCCAGGGCCAGCTGCCGCTGTGCCAGCCCCAGGACTATGACCTGGGAGCTCTGGGAGAAAACCACAAAGAGGTGGACTCTGGGAGAAAACCTGGGAGAAAACCACAAAGAGGTGGATTCTAGAGACTCAGGTCTGGACACCAAGTCTGGGAGAAGGATGGTGCTGGTACTGGAAAGGCCCCTGCTCACCGAGGACCCGGTAGGTCAAGCCTCGCCCTCCTTGGGCCAAATGGGTGACCTCTAGCTAGTGATTTTCCCTCTGTGGACCTGAGGGCCTCATCCAAGTTCCCACTGAGGGGGAGCCTAGGAGGCCTAAGTGAAGTGACAACTGAGAAAGCCCCCTCCTCCAGAGCAGGTTCTCAAAAATCATCCATTCTGATCTTTCAGACTCCAAAGCATGGTCCCCAAAGCTCTGGACTGCCACGGCTCTCTCGCTGTCTCCTCCTGGGTCCAGATGGTTCTAACACAGACATAGTGTTTGCTTAGTTCTTCCGATTGTTCATTCATTCATCTTACACCTACGCAGGGCGTCCCACGCGTCAGGCTCGGGTGGCCAGGGCTGTCCTCCTCGCACGTCCCCTGCCCGCGTGTCCCCGTACCGGCCCACGCCTCTGAGCACACATAGCGTCCGTGCACCTGGGGACTGGCACCGGGACCACGCCCGCCGCCCACGCGTGCCGGTGGCACAGGCCCCCCGGGCGCCAACCATCGTCCCCTCGCCCCACCGCGACCTCCAGCGCGCGGCGGGCCAGCAAGGCAGCAGCCCTGGGCGCAGGCTCCTCCCCTCCCCCCAGGCGGCCAATGAGCGCCGCGACCCGGGCCGGCCCCGCCTACCCCGGGGAACCCCGGCCGCCGATTGGCCCGCCCGGGCGCACTGGCCCCCGCACGTGGGGCGGGGGCGGGGGTGAATGAAGTGGAAGCGATTCCCCCGCCCCCGCGCTCACCTCCCGCGCCCCGCGCGGCCCGCCCCCCGCGGCGCCCAGTCCCGAGCCCGCCCGCCCGCCAGCTGCGCCCGACCCCGGCGGCCCGCTCCCCCGGGCCCGGACCCGCGTCGTGGACCCGCGATGGCCAAGCGCAGCTCGCTGTCCATCCGCATCGTGGAGGGGAAGAACCTGCCCGCCAAGGACATGTGAGCGCTGCCGGGGGTGGGGGCCCCAACTTTCTGGGGAGGGCGCTGCCCCTTAAGCCTCACCTCCCCGGGGTCCACGCGGCCCGCTCGCAAGTGGAGCAGCGGCGAGGGTGTGGCGAGTGTGGCCGCGGTAGGGGACTGGAAGGGAAATGGGGACAGTAAGATTTGTTGGGAGCACCGGGCGGGGCGGGGGGCTGGGAAGGGCGGGGGCTGTAAGGGGCCTTAGTAAGGAGGGAGCGAACGGCGGCTCAGGAGGGGAAGGGGCTTTCATAGGACGGGAGCTGAGCGTGGGGGGCACCTCGCAGGGAGATGTGCTGCCGGGGGTGTGGCTGGAGGGGGTGGGGGAGGCCCCTGGAAACGATGTGTCTTCCTCAGTAGTTCTAGAACCTTTAGTACCCGAGAGTGTGCACCTGAAACACGCCCTGGGGCCCGGGGCTGTCCCGGGGCTTCCAGCTGTGCGCCGGCGTGAAAGGTGAATCCGTAGGTCAGGAGGCCGGGCCCATGCAAAGATGGGGTGGCTGGGGAGCAGCTGTTGCTTGTGCCCTGGGCTTTATCGGAGCCATGCGGTGGGTTTACCTCCTCACGAGCATCCAGCAAGGCAGTTCTCACCAGTCCATGTTACAGGTGAGGAAACCGAGGCTCAGAGACCTGAAATGCTGGCTCCGAATGGCAGAGCTGGCTCCTTGGCTCCAGAGCTCCTAACAGACACTGAGATCTAGGGCTTTCCCTGGTCCCTGGCCAGATTTGAGGTTTCGGAGCCCCTTGTCCCAGTCTGTTTCTCAGTAGTCGCAGAGCTGAGCTGCCCCATCACATCCCTGGCTCCCCTGCATACAGCCTTAGGCAGCATCTTAGCTCTGAAACCTCAGTTTCCCCTTCTGTAAACTGGAGGTCAAAATTCCTTCAGCGTAGAGGTGTTGGGTGGCTCGGTTGGCAGAGCACGCGACTCTTGATCTAAGGGTTGTGAGTTCAAGCCCCATGTTGGATGTAGAGGTTACTTAAGAATAAAATTAAAAAAAACAAACCCTTAAGCACAAAGCAAGAGGTACACTGGCTGCCTGGAGCAGCGTGGGGGAAGGGGAGCCCTGAGGCTGCATAGGGTCCAAAGTCTGCTGCCTGGATTCCCCCCCCCCCCCCGCCCCCTCCACCTCCCTCCCCTGCCAGCTGTGGCTCCTCAGTCAGCTCCTAGATGCCAAGAAGTGGGGAATGGGGAGGGGTGCCAGAGGCTGGGGCAAGGGTGTCTCTCTCACACGCACCGCGGCCCCTGTGAGTTTCCCTGCTCTCTCAGCCTCTCCAGCAGTTCTAGTTCAAGGCCCCCTGGGCCCGGCCAGGCCGGCTCAGCAGTTGCTATGGCGATGGGGTGAGGGAGGGGGCTGGGCGGGCTGTCTCCAGGTGGGTTTCTTTGTTGAGGGGGGTAGGTGGGGTGGGCGCTGGGTATGCGGCCTCTGGGGAGGACCCGCAGACAGCTCTGAGGAGGGTCTCAGCCTCCCGGCCCAGCCTCCAAGCACCCCCGCCCTCCAGGTTGGCACTGCTAACTAGGTCAGCTTGGCCTCCTCTGGCTGGTGGCTGCCGGGAGGAGCAGCAGCCCCTCCGTCTGTCGCCTCCTTCTCCATCCCTGCAGGCCCCTGTGCCTGGCTCAAGGCTTTCCCCAGCCCCGGGCGGTGAAACTGTGGACTGGGGCTTCCTGGGATCCAAGGTGCCAGGTTCTTGGCCAGGCCCTGCCTCTGTACAGCCCAGGGACCCTGAGTCTCCATCCCCCGAGGAGTGGCCACTGAGTCCTGTTGGTTCAGCCTCCACCATCTCTTTCCTTGCCCTGCCTGCCTCCCTCCTCCCCTCCCCTCATCTTGCTTCCTCTGCCCTCCCCACAGTGGCTGGCATACACAGCTCTGATCTGTCACTTGGCTCTTAAATCCAGCTGTGACCCTCCCCCAACCCCCCACACTTGGGCTCTTCACAGCCCTGCTTTTGCACACGTTTAGGAGGCTTCTGCCTTCAGACACTCCCCTTCAGAGTCCTTCAGAAAACTCCTGTTCATCCTTCAGAACCCCTCTCAAACTTGGGTTCCCTTCCAGGGCTTTCCCTGGTGCCCTTCGGCAGGGTTGGTTCGTTTGCCATGTCATGTGCCCTCCAACAGTTTAGGTCAGCTGGAGTTGGGATGGTAGCAGTTGCTGCTGCTTGGGCTGCCCCTGCTGTGGAACAGGAGGGTAGGAACCGTGACTCGTGACTCGTTCATCTTGGCATTCCAGGGCCCTGGGGAGCTCTTGGTCCATGGTAGAGGAGAATGGGGGGTGTTGAGGACCCTTCCATTTAATCCTCTTATTAGTCTTATGAGGTAGTTATGCTCAGTTTGTAGAAGGGGAAACTGAGAGACTCGGGATGTGCAAGTCACTTGCCAAGGCCACACAGCATGTAGGTAGAGAAGTCAGGATTCAAAGCCACTCTTGCTGCTGCTGACGGGCCAAGAATCCTAGCTGGACCGAGGTTGCAGGCTTGTTGCAGGCTTGCTGTTGGGCTCAGTGGGGACCAAGCCCTGCAAATGCCATGCAAATCATTTGGCTCAGGGATGGGGTGGGGTGGGGTTTGGAGTTCACAGGAGGCCCTCACTGAGCTTGGAGGCAGGGGTGGTGGTGAGCCTGCCTCAGTGTGCCTCTTTAGCCTGTCTTCTGAGCAGCGTCTCTTTCAGCCAGGACTTGCACACTTCTGAGGATGGGGAGCTCACCACTTTACATAATGGCCCATCTTGACTGAGGCTGTTCTGAGGAGGGAGATCTCATCACAGCTGCCAGTGATACTCATGGGCTTTTTAGTTCTCTTAAGGGCACAGAGCACAGCTGTGCTCCCTGTCACCGACAGCTTTTGGAGCCCACCTGTTCCTGTTGTGTTTCCATCCACTATCTCCCATCCTTGAGTGCATAGCTCAGCCAGACAGGAGCTGAGTCTCATAATGACCAGTGACTGCCTGGCTCCCACGCCCAGTGGCCCTGGGGACGGGCCCGGGACTATTTCAGGGTTTGCCCTGATCCTTCCCCTTCCACAGCCTGCAAACTGCCAAGGGGCTAAATATAGAGGCCCTGCAAGTAGTCAGGCTGGCTTCCCCAAGTGGCTTGGGGAAGGGGAAGTGGGGCAGGGGACCGGTCCAGGGGCCTCATCAGGCCAAGGGGTAATGGGCGGGGGCACAGATCCCAACAGCTGGCCAGGGATCATGGTTGGACTTCTGGCCTTAGTCCGCTTCTGACACTACCCCTTTTGCCCTCCTCTGATCCAGCCAGCCAGCTCCTCGCTGCCCCTGCACACCAGGTCTGTTACTGCCTCCAGGCCTCTGCCCACTTCGGTTATCCTGCTTGTAACACAAGCCCCAAACCGTGCCGTTCATTCAGAGATTCATTCATTGAGTGAGAGCTGCCCAGTGGGCAGAGCTGGACTCACGGGTGCCGGGGTGAGGAGGCAGAGGCAGGGTAGAGGGCCTCCCCCCAGGTCTCAGCCCACTCGGGACATCTTCCTCCTTCTGAGTTCCTTGTGCAAATATGCACGCAACTGCTGGGCCCTGCCACCGGATAGCCGGGCTCTGGGGGCCCCAGGGATCTTATTGCTGGAGCCCTGGAGTCCCCTGGCTTTGGGGTGTTGGGATGCAGGCTGGCGTCTTTCCAGGGGCTGTCTGGAGGAGGGGGCTCCTAAGTGACAGGGGAAAGGCTTACAGGCAGAAGAGCAAGGGGTTAGGACCTTGCCAACATTTACTAAACACCTGCCATGGGCTGGCCCTCCTACCAGGCCAGGGCCCTGGGGCAGCTACGCTGTGAGCGGTCATCATGTGCCCCACTGTACTGTGCGGGGAACTGAGTCCTGCCAGACATTTCCGCTCAGCATCAGAACCTTCGGAGATGTTTGTGTCTCCTCCTCCCTTCCTCTGCAGGAAGAGCCCCTTTTGAGAAGGGAAGCAGGGCTTGGAATTCCCCAACTCCAACACGCAAATCACTTCCTTTTTATGGACCCTGGGCCTGAAAGGCACTCCCAAGGCAGTCCTCACCCCCTTTCTAGTCTGGGACCAGCCCTAGGCCTGGCTGGGGCTGCCCCCACCCCAGGAATCCCCCACCCAACGAAACCAGGGCACCTGAGCAGTTCTGGCCTGGTCTTCCCCTTCCTTCTTTCCCAGATGGCTGAGAGCTCCAGGGCAGACTGTTCATTCTTTCATCCTGTGAATGCTCCTGGGCCCCCTGTCTTGTGCCCAGCTGGCTGGCCCTGCCTTAGGCCCTGGGGACACAGAAGCGGTTTAGTCAGATGGGGGTGGCCGCTGAGGACAGCACATCCCTAGCAGTCCTGGGATGGAGGGAAAGATGGAGAGGATGCCTGGCAGAGGGACCAATGGGTCAGAGGGGAGAGCCTACTCTGGGACAGGGACAGGCAGGCTCTGAGAGGCGGGGGTGGGGGTGAGGGGTGGGGGGATGCTGAGGCTGGGAGGTAGGCAGCACACTCCAGGTAGGAAGAGCAGAGGAGCATGGGCTGGGGAGAGAACAAGGTGCCGACTTGGGTATTGAGAATAGGGGTTCCTGGAGCTGGCCTGGGGCTGTTCCCTGCTCTGACTGTGGTTTCTGTCCTCCTTGGGGCAGAGCAGGGCGGGGCTGGAGGAAGGGGCTCCTGGAAGGAGCATCCTTTCTCTAGCAGGAGGGGGCAGGGGAGCTTTTGCTCACCACCAGCTTCCCAGACTGATGGGGGATGGGGCGGGGCACACGTTTTAGCCTGAGGTGCTCTTAGGCTCCAGCCCAGGCCCCCTGTGCCTCAGCCCCGATTGTCCTTTCCCTAGGGTAACTGAAGCCTGAGCTGCCTGGCAGCCCCTGGGCACCCCTACCTACCCTTGCCCCATTGGCCTCTCGGTCCGTGGTCAGCTCCTCGGTCCGTTGGTCAGCCCCTCCTTGGCCTTCTGTCTTGCAGCACTGGCAGCAGTGACCCCTACTGCATCGTGAAGGTGGACAATGAACCCATCATCCGGTACGGCCCCTCGTTCCAGCCCCAGCTGCGGGTGGGTGACAGGGCTGCACCTATTCCTCCCCACCCACCCCACCTGGTCCAGCTCACATCTGGCGTAGGGGGAGGGCTCAGAGTATCTGATCTGTTGCTGCCCCCTTCCCTGACACACCTGCTGGTAGGTGAGAAAACTGTCCCCTCACTCCTCCCGCTGATCACACTGACCTTACGGCCCATCCAGGCATTAGATCCAAGGGCCTCTCACCAACTCTGTCTCTTTCTATGATCTTTAGGGCCCTCAGAAGGGACAGAGGATGGTGATTAGTGACAGCAGCTGTCGTTTATGGAGTACAGTCTGCTAGGCCCTGCGCTAAACCTTTTGTAGCCCATTTAAAAGTTGCAACAAACTAGATGTGATATTATTGAATTGCATTTATGGATGAGGAACTCGGGGACTCAGAGAGGCTAAATAACTTGCCCAGAGTCACATATCTAGGAGGTGGCAAAGTCAGACCAGAAGCCAAATCTGGCTGACTCCAAAGCCTGAGCAACTTCCCCCTCCCCGGTCCTTGCTCTCCCTCGGGGCTCCTCCTCTCTGAGAGACTCCCATGGTGGTTATATCCCAGAAAGGCTACTTCGGGCCAGGGGGCCCCAGCCCGTACCCAGAAGAACCACTGCCTCTGGATGTGCCTTTGTCCACAGGCTCCACAATCCTAGGCAGGGATTTGAGGTCCCATCCCCCTGTCTCTTGGGCCTCTGCCTCAGACTTCATGTCTAGAGCCTCCCCACTGTTCTGCCCACCCGAGCACCCATCACTGACCACCACCCAAAGCTGCCAGGCTCATGATTCTTCCCCCCTGTGCAAATAGTACCCCAAATCTTCTTCCACATTCTATCCAAACCACGATACCAAGAAGGGGACAGACAGGATGGCTCGGATTGTGTCTGTGACAGACAGGGAGACCAAGTCTCCAGAGTTCAAATGATCTGTTCAAGAAGTGGTTGAGGTGAAGGTCATCATTTGTGCCTTCATCCACATCCTTGGGGGTTTCAGCTCCCCACCGCCCCCAGTATCCCCTGCTAAGTCCCATGAGCTCTGTCCTGGAGGCTGGCCAGAGCTGGATGAGGCTCTGTCCACATAAAACTTCTCTGGGTCAGGCTCTGGACTGTGGCTCCCAGGCCCCCCAGGAGGACTGTTTAGTTCCAGAGTCAACTTGGCTAGTCCCCTGTTTCCACCCTCAGCGAGTCTGCTCAGCATCAGGGGCCAGGGTGAGGCTAGGAGGCCAGCCCTCTGGTTTTGGCTCTGCCACCGTCCTGTTATGTGACCTGAGGCCAGCTATGGCCACCTGTGGTCTCAGTTTCCCCAAATGGAAAGTAGCCTGACAGACCTACCCAGGGCAGAAAGGAAGGTCAGGAAGGAATGATGGTGGACAGTGGGAAATCATCAAATAGCAGAGTGGGAGTGGAAGGGGATATGGAGAGAGGTGAACCTAAGTCACATGGCCCTGTCCTGTCACGTCCTGGGACCCGTGGGTGGCCCAGACAGGTGCTGAGGGTCCTCTCCTGCAGGACAGCCACTGTGTGGAAGACCCTGTGTCCCTTCTGGGGCGAGGAGTATCAGGTGCACCTGCCGCCCACCTTCCACGCAGTGGCCTTCTACGTCATGGATGAGGATGCCCTCAGGTGAGTGGGCCCCCACTCCTCACGTGGGCCCAGACCCTGCCATCCGCCTCCTCCCTGCCCGTGTCACTGCTGGGACTGCTGGTCACTTTGGATCTTCTTTACAGCCTGGAAGGAGGGGGAACCCCAGGAGGGTCTGGAAGGGCTCAGGGTTTGAGTGTGCAGATGTCTATGGGGGGTGGGGGTGTTCACACTGTTCACCCCACATCGTACATACACATGCACAGGAATAAAGGTATAGGTGTGTTGGGCTGTGCATGGGCGGTGGGGGTGTGTGAACTAGGGAACCCAGAGAGCATGAACTTGGCATATACATGGGCACACATGTCTGCCCATGTGCAGAAACCTAGCATGTGCTCATGAGAGTTTCCAGAATACAGGGCCCACAGGAGGGTCATTGGTCCTGCTCTAATAGGCTGCTGTAAATGACTGGAGTGTCAGCTTCCCTGCTTCCCGCAGGGCCCCTAAACTGGGAGGAGAGGGGTCCTGGGCTCTCTGCAGAGCCCTGCCCAGCTCTGGCTCCCTCTCCATCCTCCAGCCGGGACGACGTTATCGGGAAGGTCTGTCTTACCAGGGACACCCTGGCCGCTCACCCTAAGGGTAAGATCCCTGGGAGGGAGCCCATGGCCTGCTCTTTCTTCTCCTCCCCTGGCCTCCCTCCTCTCTCCCTCCACTGGTCAGCCTGGTCCCTGGCCTTCCGCCAATTCAGAGATGCTTGCTCGAGGCTCCTTCACCGCCCATGCTCAGGGAGAGCCATGTCTGCCCTCCCTGGAAGGGCCTCTGTGCCCTGGGTCCCCTTCTGTCCCTTGTTGGGACCGCATCCCTCTAGGGCAAAGAGGGGCTGCTAGTGGTGGGACCAGGGGTCCCTTGTCCCCTCAGCCTGGGCCCCAGTGCCGCTCTGTCCTAAGCCTGAGGGGTTGGCCTGTGGCTGGACTAGGCCCCTTGGATGATTGCTGGGATGCTGACACTGTTTTGAGGCCTCACTGTGTGACCTGGGGCAGGTGCTGCCACCCCTGGGATGGGTGCCTGTCTGCCAGTGAGGGCTCAGACCAGGAGCTCTCAGTTCAGGTTCTGCTTGCTCGAGCCCCTGTGACTCTTCCCAGGCCTTTCCACCACACACCTGCTCCTGTCTGTGAGGCTGGGGCAGGCGTGCGGGGTTGGGCAGACTTTGCTGACTCACGGAGCCTCTCGGCCCCTGCCAGGCCAGAGGCCTCTCCTGCCCGCTGCCCCTGCCAGCCCCTCAGGGTCCAGTGGCCCAAGGGATGCTGGTCCCTTGTGGCTACCCCACTGGGGCTCAGCCCCTCCTCTAGCAGCCCGAGATAAGAACCACTGTTTTAAGATGGAGAAACCGAGGCCAGAGAGGGTGATCCTATCATGAGTCAGGGTCAGCAGCAGGGCACGATAGTAAGGACACAGGGGTTGCTGGATTTGGATTCGCATCAAGCCTCTTCCAACTGCTGTTGCTCAGCTTCCGAGCCCGTGTCCACATCTGTCACTGGGGATGACAGCCCTTGCCTCATGGAGGGGGTCCCGAGGGGGTGGCAGAGGGGCCGTGTGACGCCTGGCAGGGCTGACGGATAGGGCCAGGCCCCCAGCTGAGCCACTGCTCCCACAGGGTTCAGTGGTTGGGCCCACCTGACGGAGGTCGACCCTGATGAGGAGGTGCAAGGCGAGATCCACCTGCGCCTGGAGGTGGTGCGAGGGCCAGGGCCCTGCCGGCTGCGCTGCTCTGTGCTGGAGGCCAGGTGAGGCATGCACAGGTCTGGGGTGGGGGTGGGGGACACCCTCTGTGATTGCCCACCTGCTGTGCCCCCCTCTCCATGGCCTGGCCCTGCACCTCCTCTCATGGAGGCCTTCTGTGTGGGCTGGGGGACAGTCCCCTTAGGGGACTTGGTGATGTTCTAATGGTGGAACTTCAGGCATCCTAGAGCAGTGGGGGTAGTAGGTGAGAGGGGACCTCAAACTCTGAGCATGCACCCCCAGTGCCATGACTGGGCTTCCCCTGAGTTTAACTCCAGTATGAACCTGGCCTGATGTGTGTGCGCACACCCGTGCGTGTGTGCATGTGTGTTGGTGGCGAGGGAGGATGTCCTCAGTGGGGTGAAAGGAGTTGCTGAAAAAATCCAGATGGGAGGGGTGGGTTCTCTCCAGGAGGGACAGTGACTTGGGTGGGAAGGTTGCCTGAGTCACCTGTGACAGGACCCCCCTCCCCCTCAGGGGTATTTTTAGTTGCGGGCTTCCCTCCTGTCTGGGCCTGAGTGTGAGTCACACACGCTCCATGAGCAGTACCTTCCCTTCTGGCTCCAACCCGCCTCCACAGGGTCCTTCCCTGCCTCTGGGGCGGGAGGGCCTGGCCTGGCCAGCGCCTGTAGAGGAGCGGGTCCCCGCAGGTTGGCTGGCTTCCCTGGGAGGAAGATCTCTCTCCTGCCAGTGAGGCTGTGGCTCCCCTGGCTGCATTTTCTGTCCTGGGACTAAAGTGGGGAAGAGGCACAAGCAGATGGAAAGTGTGTGGACTTGAGCAGAGGCACCTTCACACCCTCACACCCAGTCATTCCCACCGTCCGGCCCCGTGCCCACCCGCCTCCTCTCCCATCAGCCTTGCCTGGCAGTGGGCTTTGTGTGGCTCGCATGCATGCACACTCACACATGTGCACACTCACACATGCTCACACCGCTCACACATGTGCACACTCACACATGCTGAGACTCCTGGGGACGTTTAGCCGTTGCCTGGACGAGGGGAGCAGTCTGTCCACACCTCTGTGCCGAGTGTGGGGGGGGGCACCCTTGGCCCCCTGTCGCCCCCTGTTCAGACCCTGCTGGCATTCTGGGAGGCCTAAGAAGCTGTCTTTGCAGAAAGAACATTTCTCCTCGCTTTTCTGGGCAGATTCTCAAGGCCACGTTCTGGAATTCTATTAGACGGCTCTGAGGAGGAAAGAAAAGCAGGCATGAGAGGCTTTAAACTGAAAATGTGGAAGAGAGCAGAAAATAGTATTTACAGTAAATGGAAGAGGAGAGGGCTTTGCTGTTATTCCACAGAAGGTTCTGAGCTGGGGCTGCTGTGACCGTATTTGGGCCTTGCAAAGGATCGGCAGGATGGCTAATCAGGGCTGCTCTCCAAGATGCACCATCCCAGTCAGGAAATACTGCAGGGCAGACCTTCTACAAGCCCCATTATCTCAATTGTTGGGGTTATCTTCTCCATTCTACCTATGGGGAAGCTGAGGCTCAGGGAGCCAGCCCCAGCTCAGGGATGCCCTGGGAACAGGGGGTGGGATGGGGGGCACAGCTCAGGAAGGTGCACTTGCCTCGATGCACTTGCCTCCACTGCTCTCCAGGGCAGAGGAGTTGCAGCAGCTCGTCTGCAGCTGTCAGGTCAGAGGAGCCACAGCTTCCACCTCAGGGGATCCTTGCCTGGTATGGGTGCCACAGGGAGGCTGGTGGGGCGAAGACTGTGAGAACCAGCATCCAGAGAATGAAGAGGTGCTGTCCACAGTTACCCGGCTTGCCAGGGTGTGGATGAGCCTAGCCTGGTTGGGTACCCCACAGTGGTGGGGTGACAGTCTGGGGAAGGGGATGTGAAAAGTGGATGCTCTGCTTCCCCACAGAGACCTCGCTCCCAAGGATCGGAATGGTGCATCTGACCCCTTTGTCCGAGTGCGCTACAACGGCCGGACGCAGGAGACCTCGGTGAGGGGGTTGGGGGTGGCAGGCGGGCCCTTATCACCTGGGAGAGGCAGGCTGGGACTGCGGTCTCACAGAAGAGGTTTAGAAAAGTGGGTGACCTCAGTGCATAGTAGGTCCCAGCCCTTCTGGCATCAACCCCTACAGTCCCAGCTGCCTCTCACTCCCAGCCACATGGGCCAAGACAGCCAGTGTGGGGTAAATCTGCATGGTCCAACAGCTCCCCACACTGCTTTCCTCACCTCCAGGAAACAGCCTGGTTGGTGGGCTCAGCCCTAGGGTGAGGAGGGTGTGGAGTCCTGGATTCTCAGTGCAGTCTGCTGCCTTTTTGCTGTGTGGCCTTGGACAAGCACCTTACCCACTCTGGGCCTCAATCTCTCCCCTTGAGAAATGAGCAGAGGTTTGGACAGGAAGTTTATACCTCTGCTGTTGCAAGGCCCCTGCAGGGATCCCAAGTGGGGTGTCTGGGGTGGCTGTGTCTTTGGCTGGGCCTTGTTCCCAGGGTGGGGGAGGTGGGGTTGGGGGTGCAGGGGTGGGGCTTGGTGTCAGCTCTGCCCCCACTCATCCTGTTCTGGGTAGATTGTGAAGAAATCATGCTACCCACGCTGGAACGAGACGTTTGAGTTTGAGCTGGAGGAAGGGGCTGCGGAGGCGCTGTGTGTGGAAGCCTGGGACTGGGATCTTGTCAGCCGGAATGATTTCTTGGGCAAAGTGAGTGCCCCGCCCCTTCCGGCTGCACCTGCCACCACCTTGGAGCCTGGCCTCCATTCTAGCACTGCCCCCAACCACCCCCCCCCACCCTGCTGCTGCCCCAAGCACTCCCCAGAACCAGCCACTGCTGTTCAGGGACCCCCAGAAGCAACTCCTGCAAAAGGAACAGTAAGTTGGTGAGGAGGAGAGCTGAGGATATCAGCCCTAGTGTGGCTGCCCTGCCTCTGCCTGCCCTCAGGTGGTGTTCAATGTCCAGCGACTATGGGCAGCACAGCAGGAGGAAGGCTGGTTCCGGCTGCAGCCCGACCAGTCCAAGAGTCGGCGGGGAGAGTGAGTGTCCAGGCCTGGCAGTGGGGCTGGTGGGCTCTGGGCCCCGGGGGGGGGGCGGGGGCGGTGAGTGCAGCTGACAGCTGGCTCCAGCAGGCAGGCGGGCGGGCTGCGCGGGGATAGGGGCTGACCCTTGCCTACTAGGCCAGGCTCGGTTATCCTGGCTGATCCTGCTGCCTGGCCCTTCTCACAGTCTTGGACTCAGCCCTGTCCTCTGAGCTCTGAGGCAGTACAGGTCTCTTGCTTTCTACCTTCTTGGCAGATTCTGGAACAGGCTCACAGATCCTTTCCCTTGAGGGGTTTCTCAGTAGACCTCAGACCAGACTTCAAGTCCCCAGAGCTCTGACTCTCCCCCAGATTTTCCAGGAATAAGGTATAGGATGTCTGCTTAAAGCTGAATTTGAGACGAACATTGAATAATTTTTTAGTGTTAAGTATGCCCCTGCAGTGTTGGAGACAGACTTCTAAAGATACTCAAACTTAACTGGAGGCTTATATTTTTATTTTGGTAAATCTGGCAACCGTATCCAGGAAGCCCTCTGGGCTCAGCCTGGAAGTAGAGGATCAGCCATGACCCCCACCTTGGATAGTTCAGCTCTGCCTCTGCGGAAAGCCCCAGACTCCCCATCCCCACCATCGACAGGGCAGGGACAGCAGGGCAGACGGCTGTGTACAGGAGCAAGGCATTTCCACAGAACCAGCCAAGGGCCGTGTGGACAGCTTCTACTGTGTGTGATGCCATGGGCTGATTAGCATCATTTTGTGAACTCTGCTATGCTTCTGGAAGTGGGGGCCTTAGAGACAGTTAAGCCTTGGTCAGTACTGTCACCAGGAGGGATTCGAGCAGGGGAACTTGGCAGTTAGGTCTTTTGTGGCAAGTTGCCTAACCTTCTCCAGGCAGGTTGTTAGGACGACTGGGGATTTGTTTTACTGTGAAGCCTATACACGACGGAGCTGTGCTCTGAGGGTTTAGAGATTCTGGGCTGGGGAGCCCAGCATGTCCACCTGGGTCAAGCTCAGAGTCCAGGGAATCCAGAGGTGACAGGGAGCCAGGCTGTGAAGATGGGTGGAGGTAGGAGGGGCTTCCCAAGCAGGGAAAGAAAGCAGCTTGGCAAAAGGTCAGGACGTGGGGCAGTGCAGGGAAGCAGGATGGAAGGCATGAGCCAAGAGGCTGTGAGGCTGGTCGCAAGTGGGGAAGATGGAGGCAGTGGGGAGGGGGCATAGCCCCGGTGGCCTGGGTCCCTGGTGGAGAGGTGGAGAGGTCACAGGCTGCCCATTCCAGGGGCAGCCTGGGCTCCTTGCAGCTGGAGGTGCAGCTGTGGGACGAGACGGTACTGCCCTCTGGCTGCTACCAGCCCCTGGTGCAGCTGCTGTGCCATGAGGTGAAGCTGGGCACCCAGGTGAGGGGGCCCCGGGGGAAGGTGGGGGGTCCGGGGACAGTAGGCCTGTCCTCCCCGTCCTTCTAAACCTGTTCTCAAGAGCAAAGCTCTCAGTTCTCAGGATGGCAAGGAACTAGCCAGTGCCAGGGCCCCTTGCCATCCCTTGGGAAAGTGCCCCCCCTTCCCCATGGTCCTCTGAGGTCCTCAGGGTGAAGGGTTTGGGTTCCCCTGTGCCTCCTCCAACCCTTCCTCTCCTTGCTGCCTCCCACAGGGCCCAGGGCAGCTGATACCACTTATTGAGGAGACAACAAGCACTGAGTGCCGCCAGGATGTGGCCACCAACCTGCTCAAGCTCTTCCTGGGGCAGGGACTGGCCAAAGACTTTCTGGACCTGCTCTTCCAGCTGGAGCTGGGTCGTACCAGTGAGGCCTGGGAGGAGGTGGCCTGTCTGAGGGTTTGATGGAGAGGGGAGCCAGGAGCCAAGGACTCCAGAGATGCTAAGAGGGGAGAAATCTGGGAAGTCTTCCTGTAGGAAGCTGCTGGGTCTGATTAGGAGGCAAAGGAAAGAGCAGAAGGCAGAGGTGGGGCAGTGGGCTGGGAGGTGGCAAGGAAGTTCCTTGCAGAGGGTCCGGTTTAGAGTCCTCTGTCCTCCCCCAACCTCCGACCCACTAGAACCTCTGCTTGTAGGTGAGGCCAACACCCTGTTCCGGAGCAACTCTCTGGCCTCAAAGTCCATGGAATCTTTTCTGAAGGTGAGATTAAGGGGTCTGTGGTCTTTCTTTCATAGAAGAGATGGAGGTTCAGAAGGGCCGAGAGACGGTGGGAGCTTAAGCTCAAGTCTTGTGTCAGAGCCCGGGCCCTTTAGGCTGGGAATGTCATGCATCCATCCCCGCATCCGCTCACAGGGTCCTTCGTGCAGCAGGCAGGTGCTGCCGGTGGTGCCGGGGTGGCTGGGAGGCCAGGTGCGGGCGATGGAGGCAGGACCAATGCCACTCCCCACGGCCCCCAGGTGGCTGGGATGCGCTATCTGCACGGCGTCCTGGGGCCCATCATTGACAGGGTGTTCGAGGAGAAGAAGTACGTGGAGCTGGACCCCAGCAGAGTGGAGGTCAAGGACGTAGGGTGAGGCCGCGGGTGATCCCTGGGGGTGGGGGTGCCAGGCTCCTTCTGCCTGGGTCTACCTTTCGTCGCTCTGCCCCCCTGTGTCGGCTGACGCCGTACCGCGCCTGCCTCGGGGAGCCCCTGTGCGAGTCGTGTGCAGGGGCGCTGACCTCCATCTTCTCTGCGGGCCCCCCTCAGGTGCTCGGGGCTGCACCGTCCACAGACGGAGGCCGAGGTGCTGGAGCAGAGCGCGCAGACGCTGCGCGTCCACCTGGGGGCGCTGCTGAGCGCGCTCAGCCGCTCCGTGCGCGCCTGCCCCGCCGTCGTCCGAGCCACGTTCCGCCAGCTCTTCCTGCGCGTGCGCGAGCGCTTCCCCAGCGCCCAGCACGAGGTGCGCCCCCTGCCGGCGGGGGAGGGGCCGCGGGGCGGGGCTAGAGCCGCAGGCGGGCTCCCCGCGGCCGCGGTCGGTCGCGAGGTCCGGCCAGGGCAGCCCAGCCCCGCTCTCCCACGCCCCCCCCCCCAGAACGTGCCGTTCATCGCCGTCACCAGCTTCCTGTGCCTGCGCTTCGTGTCTCCTGCCGTCATGGCGCCCAAGCTCTTCCACCTGCGCGAGCGGCACGCGGACGCGCGCACCAGCCGCACCCTGCTCCTGCTGGCCAAGGTGCGGCCCGGCCCGGCCCGGCGCGAAAGGCTTCAGACGCCCCGATCTGTTCCGCCCTGAGCAGCGCGGGGATGGAATGGGTCCGTGAGCGGACCCTGTGCTGTCCCTGCCTCCATTTCTACCGCGGGAGCAGCCCAGGTTTGGGGGCGGGGCGGGGCAGGGAAGGTGCAGTGCGGGGGCCCTTGACCCAGCGCAGCCCGGCGCTTGCTGCGTCACCTGCAGGCGGTGCAGAACGTGGGCAACATGGACACACCGGCCTCCAGAGCCAAGGAGGCTTGGATGGAGCCGCTGCAGCCCACCGTGCGCCAGGGTGTGGCTCAGCTGAAGGACTTCATCACTAAGTTGGTGGACATCGAGGAGAAGGAGGGTGAGGCTCCCCGTGGGGCCCCGGGCCACCCTCTCACGTTCAGGTTTGCTCCACCCCTGCCCAGTGTGGCCCTGCCCACAGCCTGCAAGTCCTGTTTGTGCTGTGCCCCGTGTCACCACCTACCCCTGTGCCTCTTTGGTCACACTCACAGCCCCCTGCCCCCCCGCTGCCTGGGCCCCTTGTGGCTGTGCCCCAGCCTTGCCATCATCCCTGGGCTCACGTGTTGCCCTCCCTCCCTGGCCCAGCAGAACTGGACCTGCAGCGGGCGCTGAGCTTGCAGGCACCACCGGTGAAGGAGGGGCCACTCTTCATCCACAGGACCAAGGGCAAGGGCCCCCTCATGTCCTCCTTCAAGAAACTCCACTTTTCCCTCACCACCGAGGCCCTGAGCTTCGCCAAGACACCCAACTCTAAGGTGGGTAAGGAAGGAAGGAAGCAAGCAGGCAGGTGGGGTTGCGAGAGTTTATAACACCCTGGAGGCACCTGTGCCTCCCTCGGAGCCTGTCCAAAGGTCCACTGGGATCGGAGAAGAAAGCTCGGCAGGACCAGCCTTCTGGTGTTAGCCGCAGGATCTCTAAAGACTCGTGGGGAAGAAGCTCCTCTGCCCGGAGGGGAGGCAGCAGCTGCAGTGTCAGGCCTGGCTGCTTGCAGCATGAGTGGGGTGGGGGGCAGAGGGCTGCTTCTGGGAGATGAAGGAATTCGAGGAGGGCTGGGAAGGGTCCTAGTTTCCAGCTCTGTGTAGGGAGGAAGTGTCTCAACTTTTCTGAGTTTTGGTTGGTGTCTTGGCCAACAAATCAGGGGTAATGGTCCCCACTTCCCAAGTTGTTGAGGGCAGAGGAGATGGTTGCTCTGAGGATGCAGAGCCCGGGCCCAGCATAGGGCAGGATCGATTTTTTTTTTTTTTAAGATTTTATGTATGTATTTATTTATTTATTCATTCATTCATGAGTGAGTGAGTGAGTGACATAGAAAGAGAGAGGCAGAGACACAGGCAGAGGGAGAAGCAGGCTCCATGCAGGGAGCCCCACGTGGGACTTGATCCGGGATCTCCAGGATCCCACCCTGGGCTGAAGGCGGCGCTAACCACTGAGCCACCGGGACTGCCCCATAGGGCAGGATCTTAACCAGTGGTGTTACCGAGGGCCCTGGATTGGCCTCCTGTCCATGCTTTTCTCCCAGGAAGGGCAGAGCATATACGTCTTGGATGGATTTGCTGACCCCTAGCTGGGCCTCCCCACCAACCCCTTGCCAGCCAGGCTCTGGGGACTATCTGCTGGGGCCCCCAGATAGTCCCAACCCAGCCTGAGCAGCTGATGGGGAAACTGAGGGGGTGAGGGAGCTCCCTGGGTGACCTGTCAGCCTGGCCTCTCACTTTCCAGCTTCCTCCACTCTGGGCAGTTGCCCAGCGCCTGAGTCCCCCTTGCATTTTCTGTAGCCTCAGCAAAGCTTGGCAGGGCCTTCCCTTATCACACTCTGGGCCCTTTCCGCTCCTGGGCACTGGGCTCTGCTGTTTTGTGGGCACATCCCATGCATCCATCTTCTGTTTGCTTCCTGTTTCCTCTCCAGCAGCTGCTCCCCAGAACAGCAGGCAGCATATCCTCTGTCTTTTGGGAGGCCCCACCCCAAGATGGCTTAGATGTGTGTCCCCAGGCCTCCCTCCAGGGTTTCCCACTCCTCCCCCAGAGATGACCCTGCCCTTCTCTGCTTGTTTATGAGGCCAGCAGGGGTGGTGGGCTCAGATGCCAGGCTGGGGTTGTGTGGGTGCTCTCCTGAGGGCCATGGGAACCGGTTACTTGAGTGATGAAGGCCCTGATGAGTTCCGATGGGAAAACCCAGGGGCTGGGGGCTGCTAGCACAGGTTCAGTTTCCTCAGGTTGGGGGCCTCTCGGGGACATGAATCTGTCAGACACAGGGCTTCTCCCTGTCCCATTTGTATCTCACCATATCAGATGATGGCAGGGGTGGGGAGGGGCCGGGAGGTGGGGAAGGTAAAGGTAGGTGAGAAAATTATTCATAAGGGAAGAGGCACAGGGCCTGGTCCGGCGGGTGCTACTTTCCAGGCCTGAGGACTGCTGGGAGTCCAGACACTTTTCCAAAGCTCAGATCTCCCAGGACCACTGGGAACCCTCAAGAGGCCAGGCATTTGGTCACTCTCTGTCTGGCTGAGGTCGCTTACAGAGCTGGGTCCCCTGTGCCAGCCCCTGGTGCTGCAGATGCGGAGACTAAGGCCCAGGACTAGGGCATGGAGTGGTTCTAGCTCGGACCCTGAGTCTCCTTGTCCTGGCCCACTCCAGAAAAGTGCCCTCATCAAGCTAGCCAATATCCGGGCAGCAGAGAAGGTGGAGGAGAAGAGCTTTGGCAGCTCACACGTCATGCAGGTCATCTACGAGGATGATGCAGGCAAGCCCCAGACCATCTACCTGCAGTGCAAGGTGGGGACCATATGGAGGACACTCAAGGGGAGGGGTACTGTGAGAGCCTGTGAGCCTGGTGTGGGAGTGAGTCAGGCCCAGCAGAGTGTGAGATCTGATGTGAGTGCACAGTGTGTGTGTCCTGGGCTCTGGGGACCTGTGCCCATGGTGTTCCCTGGGCCCGTCTAGACGCCCACATGTAGGTCTCTGTGTAGTCCAGTGTACGGATATGTACGTTCCTGTGATTCCAAGCTTTGCACATTGTACATTTGTGGGAAACTGGATTTCTGAGTATCTGTGTTGGTGCCTATGTGTTTGTGGTGCGCGTCAACGCATATTAATCACCTGTTTACGCAAGCATGTGGCTTTGAGTACATGCTTTCAAATCTTCTCTTTAGGTATTAACTCATTCATTCATCTAAGACATGTTTGTGGCGCCCCTGCAAGGCTCCCGGCGCTGTTCTTGGGGGTGGGATACAGCGGCAGAGGACATAGCCTTGCCTTTATGGAGCTTGTCCCTTAGGAGACGGATGCTAAGTGAATATGTAAAATGTCACATGGTGACAGTGCCTTGGAGGACACAAGGGGAGAGGGAAGGGACACAGTAGTGTTTAGCGGGGCATGCTACTCTCTGAAGGGTGAGCAAGAGGGCCTCTGACAGGTGGCCTTTGAGCCGGGGCATTGTGAAGGAGAGAATGTCTAGGGGAAGGACACAGGGAGTAAGGAGGAAGGCTGGAGTCAGAGGGGGTCTGGCTTGTCCCTGAGAGTGACTGTCCAGAGCCACAGGGGAAATGGTGACAGTGAGGCCACCACATCTGGTTGGCAGGTCGTACACTGCCCAGGGGATGGCTGAAGTAGGCCCACTCTGTTCATCGGCCCATGTGCCTGGGAACTCCAGGAAGGGAGGGAGGGCTTCCTGGAGGGGGTGGCCTCAACCCTCCCACCTACCCTCCCGGCATTCCGTGCAGTGTGTGAACGAGCTGAACCAGTGGCTGTCGGCGCTACGGAAGATGAGCATCAGCAACCCTGGCCTGCTGGGCTCCTACCACCCCGGCATCTTCCGCGGGGACAAGTGGAGCTGCTGCCACCAGAAGGACAAGTCAGGTGAGAGCGGAGGCCTGCGCCCCCTGACACTGCACTGTCCACAACTGGCTCCAGGCTCCTAGCCGGGACTGGGGCCTTTGAGCCCTGGCTTGTTGGCCTGGCTGGGGAGCCACCTGTGCACCTGCGGGGACTAATCGGGGGCAGGCTAGTCCCTGCAGGTGCTCCGGGCGGGAAGGGTTCTGTGACAGGGTAGTTTGGGAGATGGTGTGTGGCGTGTGTGACACACATGGGCACGTTGAAGACCCAGCAGAGGCCTGAAAACGAGTTGGAATACCATCTCTGATGCCATGTAATCCAGCAGTTGGAACTCACGGGGAGTTAGGGGAACCCTTTCTTGCCCAGTGAGAGAGGTTCTGGCAAAACCAGTGTTCCAGGGAACACACTTCAGGAACTCCTTGCTAAGGAGGGCACATGAGGGCTCCTGAGTTTGCAAGTGCCCACCTGGCAGCCTGATACCGAAGCTGCAGGTGGGGGGACTCTGGGCACCAGAGGGATGGCCCATATGAGCTTCTGCTAGAACTTTCCGTGATAGCGGTAGTGGTATGTATCCGTACTGCCCAGTACTGCACCTGTGCTTGTCACGAACGTGTGGTTAGGCTTGAACCATGGCCAGTGTGGCCTAGGAACTGAATTTTAAGTTTGTTTTAATTTTATGTAGCTTTAATTAATTTAAAATCAAATGGTCTCCTGTGGCTAGGTGGCTACCCTATGGGACAGCTGAGTTCTGGAACTGTTAAGATCTTCCTTCCCTTAACCTCGGTCTGCTTTACAAAATTATTGTTCCCCATTCACAGAAGAGACTCAACCCCTGGAGCCTGTGGCCTCTGGGCCGGGCCTAGCCTCAGCCCCTGGAGCCTGGCTCGGGGAGGCCCTGGGAAGCTGCCCCGCCTGCTCCAGACCACCCTTGGGTCTGGGAGGGGGCAGTGGCAGCTCTTTACACAGGCATCACTGGTTGGTTGGCCTGACTTGCAGCCCCTGCTCTGACCTTGGTGGTGATAAACCCTGTCACTGGGGAGGGGGGCTCCCCATGACGCTAGGAGGCACAGGGCCTGGTAGCCCATTTTATGGAGGAGGAAACTGAGGCTTAATGGGCTGATGCCTCTGCCAAGGTTGTAAAACCAACAAGTGGCAGGGCCAGCTCCTTCCAGGGCACAAACCCCTCAGCTTCCATCCCCATGATCTTACAGTGCCAGGCCCCTCCCTTCTTCCTTCCAGGCAACCAAACATCCAGAAAGTTGTCCAGCCCCCTGACTTGTGTCTTGTGTGGCTTCCGTGCTCTGCAGTCATGTATCCTTGGCCCTGGGCTCAGGAGTAGACCCGAGAGGGATGAGCTGCTGCCCTCCTGGGGCCCCTGAGGCTGTTCTTGTTCCCCTTTAGCCTCTTGTGTCCCCACCTGCACTATCACCAGGTTGGATGTAAGCTCTCCCAGGGCCTGCCTGTGACTTTGCCCTCTCTGTGCCCCCAGATCTGGGCTGTGACAAGACTCGGTCACGTGTGACCCTACAGGAGTGGAATGACCCTCTGGATCATGACCTGGAGGCCCAGCTCATCTACCGGCACCTGCTGGGTGTGGAGGCTACGCTGAGGTGAGGAGGCCTATAGAGCCCCAGGGAATGTGGCCAGCGAGGACCGGGGTGAGGGACAGGGCCAGGGTGAGGGCTCAGGGCTGGTCCCTGTGGTTGCTCTCCCCACTGCACATCAGGCCGGCTCCTGCCCTGCCTGCCTGGGACAGCTACACCCGCGGAGGGGCACATGGGCCTCTGCAGCACGGGGCTGGCTCATGTTAGGATGAAGGCCCGAGGGCTGCAGAAGCCCCGAGTTCCTGCCAACGACTGTGTCCTGCCCGGGCCCACCCAGCCTCCCAGCCCGTCCAGCCTTCCCGTTGTGCCCTTGGACCACAGAGCTTGTCCTCAACCCTGGCTCTAGCTCAGAAATGACCAGAATGCCTGGGCCCTACCACACCAACTCAGAGTTTCTGGAAGTGGAGTCCAGCATGGGGATATCTCCAGGCAACCCACTGCTTGCTAAGAGCGCTGTTTTCCTGAGCCTGCTGGAAGGGGGCAGTTTTCTAGCCCAAAGGATGGGTGGTGGTGGTTGTCCGTGTTCTTCATCGACTTTTCCAGGGTTTAATCTTTCTCAAAACCCTTCAAAAAAAAAAAAAAAAAAAAACCCTTCAAGGCTCGTGGGGTCAAACTGGAACCACTCATTCCCCTGTGAGCCACAGTTTCCGGTAGCTTTCAGGTCATTCTGCAGCCACCTCCTTTTCTGATAGTGTGGCCCCCTTGCTTGGTGACTTCATCCTCTACCTACGGGATGAAGCTACCACCCTGTCTTCTCTGTTCCTGGGACCCACAGTTGTCCTCCATTTAAGCCAGGAAGTGGCAGAGCAAAAACTCGAACCTGAGCCACCTTGGGTTTAGGTGGGCCCCAGCACGGGACCGGTGCCCATGGGCCTCACTGTAGCACCCTGCCTTGAGAGCCTCCCCACCTCCAGAACCACCCTTTCCATTCCACACCGCCAGACCTCCTGCCCCTTGGCACCTCTGATTCTGACTCAGGGGTCTGTCCTTACTCCCCGTCGTAACTGATCACTGCACACTTGTGTTGGGAACAACATTGATGTATTCTCTTGCAGTTTGTGTTGAATAAGCAAATGAGCAGAGTGGTTAAGGGACCAGGCCGACCCCACGGGGCCTAGAAGGCATTTGAGAAGGAGGAGCCTGTTAGATCTTAGCAGAGGGACACATCTCCTCCAAAACAAACCTGGGAGACTCAGAAGGGCCAAGCCAGTGCAGTCCCCAAGCAAGGAACTTCAGGCATGAGGTCCACATGGCTGCTCACTCTTCCTCCATGTGAGCTCCTGGGATTGTGCCTGAGGACCAGGGATCTCTGGTGAACCCCGCTTAGGACTTGTGCTTAAGTTGTCACCGTCTCCTCTTCCTATAAGAAAGAGACTCCTTCCACGGCCAGTTAATATGGGGGATTTTCAGGCCCCAACTGGCCCCTTTCCCCAGAGCCCTCCAAAACAGAAGTGACGTTCCAGAGTGCCTTCCATCCACCCACCACTGGAGGTGGGGAGGACCAGTGGGGGCTGGAGAGGGAAGGTGCTAGAGGGCCAGAGGACCAAGGCCTGGGCCCCTGTTTTTCTTCCCCACAGAAAGTGTCAGCCCCCCACTCCTGGGATCCCCTCCAGCTTGGGAGGCCTGCAATGGGTTACCCAGCCTTCCTGGCAAGGGCACCACGAGCTCTCATTCCGTCCTCCCCTACAGGGAGAAGCAGCGGGAGCTGAGTGCAGCAGGCACAGAGGCAGGCTCTGCACTTAGGGGCTCAGGGGAAGGTAGGTCCTCCTAGCTGGACTCCCACACTGGCCTAAGTTCCACTCAGGGGTGCTGTGGGTGGGGCCCACCCCCAGGGGCCCTCTGACCTTCCAGACTGGTGCTGGTGGGTGAGGCCCTGCCTGCTCTGCCCTCATCTGGCATCTGCCTCCAGCCCCCAAGGATCCACTGGCCCAGCTGTTCCAGGTGCTGCAGGACCTCCGGGAGGCTCACAGATCCAGCCCAGCCAGCGCACCGCCCTTGGAGACAAACCGCCTGCTGGAGCTGCAGACGTGAGGCCTGCCCCACATGCCCTCACTGAACCCCCTGCCAGGTGCTCGGAGACCCCCCCCCCCCCCGCCGGGTGCGCTTTCAGCTCTTCACATCACTCCGTCTCACTGGGGAGCGGGGTTTAGGGCTCTCCTGGGCTGGGTGGATTGGGGGCCAGAGGCCCGTCCTTGCCCACCTGTAGTCTCTAGGGAACTTTGTGAGCTCCTTCTCCTCTCTGAAGCCTGGCTGTTCCTCGCAGCCCTTGCAGCCATCGCTGGCACCACCCCACTCTCTCCAGGGGCCCTCTCCTGCCCCGGCAGACCTAGCCAGAAACCAGCCCTAGGATGGCCCTTGACCAGGTGGACTGATAACTCCTTGGACTCACAGAGGTGGGAGGGAACATGGGGCCCACCCAGGAGACCAAGCCTTGACCTCAGCATCCCCTCAGCTCCTGGCCATCACATCACCTGCTCCCCTCCAGCCGCTGGCTGGGCCCCCCTGGGAGAGCTTTGCGGTGCTGTTGCTGACAATAAACCTGCTGTGACTGCTTGGGCTCTGGGGTCTTGTGATGGGGGTCAGTAGAGGGACTGGGCTTGGTGTGGATTCCAGTGGCTTCCTGAGTGTGGCCAAGGACCAGAGCCACCAGAATAACCTTCGTGCATCCCCTCTGTTCACCCCCCCACACACATCCTGGGAGGACTTGTTTCTTCCCCCAACTGCTGTTCCCACCATACTCCTGGGACCCCTGCTCCATCCCCCCTAGGCTACAGAGCCTGAACAGTGCCTCACCTTTCCTTCCTGCCCCGGGTGGCTGAGCCTGCGCCGCCCCTCCGCCATCACCAACACCCTGTTCTCTGGCTCCTTCCTTAGGACCTCACACAAATCCTCATGCTTTTTGAATCTCCGTGGGTTTCCAGGACCTTGTGGTCCGGAAGTACAGAGCCCAGGGTCCACTGCATCCTAATGAGAGTGAAGGGGAAAGTGGTGTGCACTACTTATGGGGCTGCCACAGGTAGAAGCCTGGATTTGAACTGCATACAGCCCCCCAGTGGTGTCACCGCCCACCCTCTCTTCCAGGAGGGTCCTGGATGGGATGGCTGCTGCAGCCTATAGAGGTGACAGTGAAGCAGGGCCTGGCACTGTCCCCACGGCTCATGTACCTCCACACCTCTAGGTTCTGTCAGGCGGGAGTGAGGCCCCTTTGGGGTAAAAACTATACCCCTTCTCTCCACCCCCAGCCAGCCAAGTAGCATCCCAGCTTTGCCCGGATGGCCCAGAAGGGTCGCGGCTACGCCCCTGTGCATCATCCCCTCACTGCCTTCTGTTCCTCACCAGCTAAAGCCCCCCCCCCCCCCCCCGTGGGCCGGAGAGTCCAGGCTGGTGTGGGCCTCTGGCCAATGGCACCTCCTCACCCCAGGGCCCAAGCTTAAGCGAGGAATAGCCCTTCCCAGGAAATGGAGGCTCCTGGTTTCCCGGGCAGGTCCCCGGCGGCTCCTCAGACGCGGCGGCTCCTGGAGCCGACGGGAGACCCAGCTCCTTGCCTCAAACAGCGCAGGTGGGGTCCGTCCACAGAACTGCGGTCTGCAAAATAGCAACCAGCGCCAACACACTCCTCTTGGCCCGCCCACCGCCTCCGCCGCCGGGTCACCTGCCCGGCCCCAGCCCTCACCCGCCGTCTGCCTGGCAAGCAGCTCATCAGGCCCCAAGCCCGCTCCGCAAAGGGGCGACCACGCGGGGGAAGGCGGGGGTCGCGGCCGGCGGCCTTCTGGTCCTAGGACCTGACGCCTCCTGCCGGCCCCACTGCGCCCTGGCTCCATTCTCCGCTCGAGGGCCTCGCGCTGGGCCCTCCAAGCACATTTGCAAAGAAGGATCTTGGGGGGGCGCGCACGGGAGCCGAGAGAGGCCGGCTCAGCGCGCACGGAGCAGCCCCAGCGCGGCCCTCGGGGCCGCCAACGCCTCACGCATGCGCAGAGCCACCAGCGCCCCGGTCCTCCCGGGCGCCTCTCGCCTGCGCTACATCCCCCGGGCCTCTAGGGGGCGAGCGGCCGGCCTCGCCACGGGGTGCCGTAACCCGGAAGCAGCCGCTAACCCGGAAGAGGTGGCGTCGTAGAGGGTCCTGCAGGCGTCGGGGGCGGCTCTGCGACTTTGGCTGCGAGTGCGGCGCTAGGATGAACGCCCCTCCCGCCTTTGAGTCGTTCTTGCTCTTCGAGGGCGAAAAGAAGTAAGTGGAGCTGGCGGGGGCGAGCCTGGGGTCGCGGGCGGACCCTGGGGCTTCTCGGCCCGTCCAGTAGCGGGAGACGGAAGCCTCTGAGTCCGCCAAATTCGAGCCAGCCCTGCCGGGCGGTGGCGACCACCCCCTTCCGCAGATGCGGAAACTGAAGCTCAGAGAGCCAAGGACCTGCCCCGGCCCTCGGGGAGTGGCGGTGTGCGTGGCGCCGGAGTGCTTCCCCCCGGGATCCGGCAGCCCCCTCGCTCGTGCGCCTGGCCGCCGCCTCCTGCGGCTGCAGCGGGGGGCTGGCTCTCAGGCTCTCGTCCCGGCTTCGCTGGCCTCTGGAGAACCTTCAGCGGCTTCTTGCCCGCGGGGTGCAGGCGGTGTAGGCTTGCTGTCTCTCAGCCTGGGCTTGGCTCCTGGCAACCCCACTGAACGTCTCCATGCCTTTGGGCAGGTGGCTTAGCCTGCCTGAGGCCTGCTTTCCTCATCTGGAAAATGGGTTCCTTGCTCTGTTAAATGACAGGATTTTCTCTAAGGGGAGCTTGACGAGATGATTTACGGGAAGTGCTTAGGCCAAGGCTCAGCACACAAAAAACTGTCTTAAACGTCGGCTTTTCCTTCTCTTAACAGCCTGGTGTGCGGGGCTCTATGTCTAGCCCTTGCCAGCCACTTCGTCTCCCTTGGGAGCAGTGGTTGGCAACTAGGGGCTATTTTGCTCCCCAGGGGACTTTTGGCAACGTCTGCAGACACTTTCGTCACATAGGGGCTGCTGCTGGCAGCTAGTGTGAATAGAGACCAGGGATACTGCTCATATCCTACAATGTACAAGACCACCCCCTGCGGGAAAGAATGATCCACCCTAGGATGTCACTGGTGCCAAGGAGCAATCCATAGTAGGTGAGGGTCCCGCAGAATCGGGGCATAGCCACTCTGCTGCTCTGAGTCAGAGGTCTTTATGGATGAAGAGATGGAGGAAGGCTTCGAGGTGGAAGTGGGACTTAAGCCTGAGTTAAAGGGCAGGATTTATCCTTGGGGGAGGAGGAGAGCCCCATTTCCCATCTGTTGCTACCACCTCTTCCTAGGATTACCATTAACAAGGACACCAAGGTACCCAATGCCTGTTTGTTTACCATCAACAAAGAAGACCACACACTAGGAAACATCATCAAATCGTAAGTTCCAAGTCAGAGGCTCTCGGGCAACGTGTAATGGGGCTCTTTGAGGTAAAGCACACGTCCCAGATTTCCCGAAGTCTCTCTGAGCTGCCGGAAGGTCTGGGTGCTTGCTCTGGCAGTTCACACGTTTCAGTATGTTTTCCCCAAAATGCTGCTGCCATGGATCTGATCCCACAGCTATATTTCTATACTGGTTCATTTATCTGATGAAAGGAAGTGAATGTGTGGCAAAGCCAGAGATTGGAACTTATTAGAATGAGGGGAGAAGGTGGGGGAGAGGCTCTGTGATTATCCGATGCTCATGTTGGGTAGCAGGTGTGTAAGTACATCAGCGAGGTCCTGGCCAGGTAAGTGGGCAGTGATGTGGTTGCTGTTTGGGCTCAAGGGCTTTTGTCAGAAAAGCACCATGGGTGAATCTAGGTCTTTCCGAGGTTCATGTGTTTGAGACCACTGGCAGGAGCCCACCTCACCTCTGGGCTGAAAGTAGGAGGTGGGGCTGGCTCTCTCCAGTCTGGCTGGCCCCACCCTGAGCCATGCCGGTGCTGCTCCCAGGCCCTTCTGCTCCCCTACTCTGGGAGGCATGTCCCCACCTGTGCAAGAGCCCTCCCTCTTGGTGCCTGCCGCTGACTGAGCTGCTCCAGAGAATCCCCCGCGGGCCCAGAGCAGAGCATGGCATGCACACTTCACCTCACAGCCAGGCACAACGGGTCCCAGGTGTGTGGGCAGCAGCGTTGACCAAAGGGCTTCCATTTCACTAAGCACTCAGAGCCTGAGCCTTTCCTGCTGTGCCAGATGCTCTTACTGGGACAGGAGCAGCACTTTGTGTTCTGGTTACTGAGCACTGGCTGCCTGGGGAGGGCTCTTTGGTGCTGTTGCAGGCCCCTGACTTCCCCTGAGGGAAGTTTGCTGGAAATCCTCTTTACCAGCTGGGGTCCTGGATCCTCATGGATATAGGGGTGGGGGGAGGAGGGAGGTGTCCTCACGAGGCAGATCTTCTAGATGTTTTACTTGGAGATATCTTTGGGAAATCAAGAGCAGGAAAGCAGCTGGAGTCAGCCATTTCCTCCCTGCCCCCACCCCCCTCGCTTCTAGGCCTCAAGCCAGTGGGAAGGCTCCTTGGTTAGAGGCCTGGTGGTCCCAGGTGCTAGGCCCAGCCCCCATGTCACACTGCCCATTTCCTGATCTCAGACAGCTGCTGAAGGACCCCCAGGTGCTGTTTGCTGGCTACAAAGTCCCCCACCCCCTGGAGCACAAGATCATCATTCGAGTGCAGACCACACCGGACTACAGCCCCCAGGAGGCCTTCACCAACGCCATCACAGACCTCATCAGCGAGCTGTCCCTGCTGGAAGAGCGATTCCGGGTGAGGAGCCGGGCGGCGAGGGGTGTTTGCATGCCAGCCAGTATGGCCAGAGCTGTTCTGATGCCCACACCAACAACCCCTGGGTAGTTTCCGGATTTATTGTGGGGTGGGGGCAGGTGGTGACTGAGCAGCAATGCCACTACAGCCTTGAGCGAGCTTGGACTAAGGGGTTTTAACAGAGTTGAGTTTGGGGGCCTGCTATCTGCAGGCATGGGTGGGAACTGTACTGAGTGCTCCAGGGTCTCCTTGGGACTGCTCCCCCAAGCCTTCTCTGGTTAAAGCCTGGCTGCTTCCAGGTATCTGTACATGGGGCAGCTCATCCCAGGCAGGGTGGGGTCCCACAGTTGAGGCCGAAAGGGGATGGTCCCACCTGTCCACACAGAGGGCCTCAAAGTCTGACTTGGGTGTCAAGTGGGAAAGATCCACAGCTTCTCAGGCAGATGGGTGGGGTGTGCTCAGAAGGCCCTGGGGTTGCTGACAGGACAGCAGGGCCCGGGTAGACCTCGGGTCACTGGGGCTGCTTTCCCACTAAGCAGCTGCCCCCTCCCTCTCCGCTCAGGTGGCTATTAAAGACAAGCAAGAAGGCATCGAATAGTGGGCTGGAGGAGTCTTGTTTGGCTGGTTCCTACCCTGCGCTGGAACCTTCTTCGGGCTTCCAGTAGAGGCGAGCAGCTTCCCTGGCTTCAGGGACATCTTGCTGAGCCCCTCCCCCCAGAGTTGGTGTGTCCTGTACACGGAGTGTTTTACCTTCCTAATAAAGATCTGGCTGTGAGAAGCAGCGGACCTGCTCAGTTTCACAGCGGACAGGCCCTGGGCCCCCAACTCCTAGACCGACAACCCAGAGCCTGGGAGGGCGGGGGTGGGGCCTGAGAGGCAGTGCTTTAGGAGTCTGTTCAGAGCTCAAGGTAGGAACACCAGGGGAGCCACAAACAGCTCTCCAGCCTTCCCTCAGACAGCAGAGAGTTTATTAATAAAATATATTCACTGATGAAAAGATCTTCGTCCTTAGCCCCAAAGCTGAATAAGTTAAGCCGTGTCCCTGGTGCTCTGCCGCAGAGGCAGGAACCCTACTCTGGCTACTGTCTCTTCCAGATGGCCACGATATTGGAGTCTGTCAGGGCGGTGAGGTAGGTAAAGGTGGGGTTGGCCACCACCATGTTCACCATGGTCTTGGTCACCATCTGGCCGAGTGCCCAGGGTTGGGGCCACTTAAGAATCTGGGGTGGCGAGAAGAAAGGAGAGCTGGGCTCTGGCGTCCCACACATGGTCCCCAGCAGTGGGAGAGGGCAGGCAGGTGGCGCCTACCTGTGTGGGGGCCTGCGGAGCTGCTGGCAGTGGAGGTGGCTGGGTCAGGATGTGCCTGACGTCGTAAACCCACACGTTGCCCTCTTCATCCCCGCACAGCACTATCCCCTCACCTGCTGGGACACATGGACAGAGGTCAAAGGTGGGGTGGGGCTCCCAGGGGTGGGGGGCGGGATTGGGGGGGAGGTGCATGGGCTCACCGGGACAGGTGCTCAGTGAGAAGTAGGCCAGCTTCGTGGGGGACCACTGCAGCCGAGCCAAGACCACCACTGCCAGAGTGGACTGCTTGCCCCGGCCCACCCAGGTCTGGCTCCAGCTCCACAGGCAGATGGTACCCAGGCTGTTCCCCTTGGAGGCTGTGGGAGGGAGAACAGAGAACTGGGTGGGGGGCCCCCCTAGATGTTTCCTGGTGCATAGTAGGGACCACCCGGGAGCCCCTGGTCCTAAACCCCAGCCCAGGGAGCAGTAGCCCACAGAGGCCTTACCAGGGCCTACCTGGGCTCCCGGGAGGCCAGGTTGTTCCCCCTTAGGGTGGGGCTTACTCACCCACGACATCCTCATTCACAAATGCCAGCCCGTCCACTCTCCGCCCGGCTGCCTCCGCACCCTCAGAAAACACAAACTCCACCTCACACACCCTGCGGGGCAGAAGACGAGGTGGTCAGTTGCCTCGTGCATGCTGGGCAAGTGGCTGCTGCACGTCCCCACATGAAGTGTGTGGGGTCATGTGCCTGGAAAGGCCACCCAGCAGTGGCCCACAGTCCTAGAGATGCCGCCCGGAGCCACAAAAGCTGGCCAAGTACCTAGAGGAGGAGAAGCAGGCACAGCTGAGGCTTGGACTCCTCCCCAAGGCTTAGAGACCAGACAGACCTGGGGATGGGGCACGGGGCTTCACTCTCAGGTGGGGTATGGGCCGGCACAGGCACTTGCCTGGGCAAAAGCCACCAGCTGGCCCGATGCTTCTGTTACTTGGCTCCACAGAGCAGCTGCTTCACTGCTGTTACCCCCCTCCCACCCCCTCCGAAGTTCTTCCCAGACTACTCATGGCACTGAGAACAAAATTCAGTCTTACCAGAGCCAGTGTCCCCTGCTCCAAGCAACCCTGCCACCTCATCCTGTCCTCTCCACTTCCCAGACTGGGCTGAACCTCCCTGGTCAGCCCGCTCTCCCGCCCCTTGCACAGGCCGCCATCCTAGGCCTGCACCTTCTCTCTCTCTGCTGCCCCATCTCCCTTGCTAGGCTCACGTGGAGAAGGCGAGCCTGAGGACCCACCTCACCTCACAGTTCTCTCAACTCTCTTTCCTTCATACTTGACGTTACAATTCGTGGGGTTTTAATGGGCCACCTTTTTTAAACACCTACCTCTGCCAGAAGGCTGTGGGCCCCACGAGGGCAGGGATGCCATGCCGAGCATGGTCTCCCACCTTCTGGTGGTACAGATGAACCTTTCCAGGCTTCGTGTCTGCCCAGGCACTACCTCCCCACCCCCCAGGTGAGGTGACCACAGCTGGGAGAACCGACCCAGCCCAGTCCCACAGCCAAGCAAGCACTAGAGGGAGGAACAGGCATTGAGACTAGAGGAGGTGGGGATAGGCCAGCCCCTCGAAGAGGCCCCTGAAAATGGCCTCTGACTGCCTAGACATAGGGCATGGCTTGAGCATCACCCATGGCAGATGTGCTTGGGGTCAGACATCTGGACTAGCTGCTGCCTAGCACCCAGACTTGGCTTTTGAGGCCTCACCTCCTCTTCTGCGGCTGATCCAGCCGCACGTCCCAGCAGCAGCAGCCACCCTCACAGCCAGCCAGCAAGTAGGTGTCCGGACAGGAAGCCACAGGGCAGAGGCGCAGGGGGATGGATGTGGTATCGAGTGTGAGCAGCTGGCTGTCGGCAGGGGAGGAGAGGATGCGGCTACGGACCCAGGTGTCTGCCCTAGCAGCCCCCTGCCCTGCCACACGGCCTCACCTGGCTTGGAATTCGTAATTGTGGTTGGGCACCCCGAGGTCCCAGAGGATGATCCGCTTGTCATAGGAGGCGGCTGAGGAGGGGATGGGAAGGGGCTCTGAAGAGGCCCTACTCCCTCCTAGGCTGAGACCGTGGTCGCAAGGCTGGCCCTTCCAAGGAGGGCAGGGCCACAGCTGGGAGACCCAAGACTCACAGGCCACCCATCCCTACCTCACCACGCCCCGTGCCAGGCAGCCATCTTTTTGCAGGCCTCTGCTCACATACCCCTTCTCGGGTTTACCACACTTGGTGGGGTGGGTAAGGGGGCCAGGATCTGAAGCCTGATCTGTTGTCTCTAATGCCATGCTGCTTCTACCATGGCCAGAGTGGACCTTGGCAGCCTGGTGTGAAGGCCACCAGCCCCAGGACCTCCCTGGCATCCCAGGGAGGGCATACTGAGGTATCAGGCTGCAGGACAGGGTGCTGGGAATGTCTCAGGTGTGCGGGAGAGGGTCTTACTGAAGAGATGGGTCTCGTGGGTGGGGCTGAAGCAGAGGGTGGCGATGGCCTTCTTGTGGGCCCGGATGACCCCACAGCAGAAGCCAGCTCGCACGTGCAGCAGCCGAACCAGGCCCCGAAGGCCTGCAGCCGCCAATACACTCCAGCGCTTCTTGTGGCCTGCCTGAGTGACCACAGTCAGGGCTGTCCAGGCCACTGAAAAGAACTCCTATGGGGGCAGGGGGCACGGGCGTCACCAAGGGGCCGAGTCTGGACCCCCAACCCTAGCACTGTGCCCCCAGCTGTGCAGGAGCCAGGCCCCAGCACTCACCTCGCCAGGCGCCTTGTACTTGTGCAGCACGATGCCTGTCTGGCAGTCTATCACACACACGGCCTCCCCGCCACACGTGGCCACTGTCTGAGACGTGGCCCCCGCCTGCCCTGAGGATCAGCCCAATAAACACATTCTGTGAAGTCTGCCCCTGCAGCTCCTTCTTCCTGTCCTTACAACACCTTGTAGGCGGTCTCTCCCAGGCCCCCCATTCACTGAGCCCCTGACCCCTGCAGGTAGCATTCCCAGGTGCCCAGTCTAGATAGCTCATTCTGCTCCTTCCCCGTGGTCTTGCCCTGCCCTGCCCTGCCTGCCCACCAAAGACATACCCTCCTCCCAGGCCGGCTCAAAGGCGCAGGCCCAGAGCTGCGTCTCCAGGTCCCGAGGGCTGTTGTTCTTGCTGTGACATTGTAGAAAGTGCAGGGGCTCCAGGGTGGGCTGTGGGGGAGGAGGGCAGCGGGGGGTCACAGCTGCCCCAGGCCTTGCTCCCTGCCCCCTTGCTAGCTTACCTGGCTGCCATCAGAGCCCTCGACGTGGGCCGACGAGGAAGAGGTACACACCCGCTTGTTGGGAGACAGGCTGAGTGGGGTGTCGTCCGGCCGTTTCAAGGCCGCGGGCTTGGCCTATAGAAGGTGAGGCCTGGCCTGAGGGCCTAGGGACCACAGGCCTATCTGACCAGGGCTTGCGTCCTCGGCGTTATAGGCTGGGCTGCACCCTCCCATGGGGGGAGAAAACAAGGCATGGCCCAGGGTCAGTGCAAAAGAGCTCAGGCATCAGAGGCCATCTCCTGGGCTTGTTTCCGGAACCCCATTCCCCCTTTCCTTACAGTCTCCTTAGGCAGGAAAGGCCAAGGCAGGCCTTGCGGGCTCCATGGTACCACGCTTACCCTGGGCTCCCGGGCAGCTGTGGCTTTTGGAGGTCTCTCTGGGATGTCTGCCTCCTGCACCTGGATCCCACCAGAGGCCACCAGCTCCTCAGAGATCATCCGCACCTACGTGGGGCCAAGACAGCAGGACGCTGGGTATGGACCTAGGGGCCCCGGCCCCTCCAGATGCCCAGGGCAGAGGGAGCCCTGGCTTCCAGAGTAAGCTGCCTTCCCTGACCCACCCCACTTTCCACCACCCCTCAGGGCCAGAGGCCTCTAGGGCAGCTGAAGGCATGGGAGCCATTGAGGAGTGGGTAGAACCGACTCCCAGCATAGCAGGGTGAGGTCATACCCGCCACTGGGTGAACTCGCTGAGGGACTCAGGCCCATAGCGGACGTCCCTGACAGCAGACCTCACAAAGTCGGCCTGGGCCTTCTCTGCCTCCTCTGGGCTCAGTGCAGCCTTGAACTTCTCCCAGTGAGCTGTGACCTGGTACAAGAGGGACCAGATTCAAGCCCAGTCCACCCCAGATGTCTCAGACCCTCTGTGGCACCCCTGACTCCAATCTTATGGCCACAGATGACTCCACCGCATCCTGGAAGCCTCCATGAGCCACAGCTGTCTTGGCAGCAGCGTGCACAAACCTAAACCACGCCCACATGAGAGAAACTGCCCCAAATAACAGGGTCCAGTCACTGTCAAAGTGTCTCTGCCTCCCTGGCTGGGCCCTGCCCGCACACCCTGAGAGAGGACCTCCATGGTCAAGAGGCCAAGCGCCATGGCCAGGCTTAGAGCAACATGTCAGGAAAGGACATGAGCGCCATTCAGTGTCCCCTGCAGAGAGCCCCTGTTAACCCCGCTCAGGGTCCTCCAAATGTCCAATTCGATCACTCGCTCAAGGGCCCCGAGTGCTCCCGAACACCAGAGATACCTGCCGGCCCCCTCACCCTGCTGGTCAGCTCCCGATTTAGGTTCTCCACTTGAGAACAGGTGGAGGAAGCATCCTTGCCATTGACCTTACGGAGCTTGGGAAGGAGAAAGGAGACTTTCAGGTTGTCACTGACCTGGGGGGAGAGGGAGAATGGCTCAGTGTCACCCCAACTCTGAGCTGTGGCCCCACAGGGTGCTGGCCCTAGGTATGAGGCAGGTGGGGGCCCCCACTTACAGTCAGGAAGGGGTTGCCCTCCAGGCTGAGCTCCTCGAGCTGCGGGAACTGGCACAAGGCAGTGACGTCCCCCAGCTGGTTGTTGGCGCAGCGGAGGACACGCAAGTGGGACAGGCCCAGGTTGGCGGGCAGCGTCTCCAGCTGGTTGTTGGAGAGGTCCAGCTCTTGCAGCTGCTTCAGGCGGCTCAGGAGCTTGGGGTCCAAGTGCTCTGAGAGCAGCTTCAGCCCCGACAAACTGGTTGGGGGCAGACAGGGAAAGCTCAGGACACAGCCAGGCCTCCCACCTCACACCTGGGGCAGTCCTGGGTGCCTGAGGGCTTTCTCAGCAGAGATTCTTGTGCACGCACAGCCTTTCCCTCTTAAAATCTTTTAACTGCGTACAAGCTGGCCCTCCAGGACGCTCTCCCCGATCCTCTAGGGGGGCTCCTTTGTGCTGCCCAGGGCCTCAGGAACTAGCTCGACAGGCTGCTAAATACCCTTTCTGCAGAACTGTCTCCCCCACAGCCCGGGCGCCCTTCAGGGGAGAGGCCACCCCGGGCCCAGCCCGCCCGTCTCTTAACGGGAGCTCGGCGCTTGGCCCGAGTGACTGGAGACGCCGACTAGCCGACAGGGCGATAACCGGGCCGGGAAGGGAGTGGGCAAGAGTCCCAGCCTTTCTGCCCGACCTGCCGGCGACCCAGGCCCTGGGGGGGGGGGCTGTGTGGCCCCGGCCCGGCGGCCCCCGGCGGCCCCCGGCCCGCCTCTTACTCCAGGCTCCGGATCTTCCCCAGCCGGTCGCTCTTGGGACGCCCCCGCTGCATGAGGAGCCGCGCCGAGAGGGGCCCCATGGCGAGGAGGAGCGGCCCGCGCTGGCCGGTCGTTGGCACCGGCGTCCGGTTGAGTCCGTACCGCCCGTAGACCGACGCGAATGTCTGCCGCCGGCGAAGCTCTAGAGGCGGCGGCGCGCGAGCCCGTAGCTAGCGACGACCGGAAGGAAGTGGTCCTGCGGACCTCGTGCCTCGCGGGCGGACTACAACTCCCAGCGGCCCGCGCGGCCCCGCGCCTGCGCCCTCGTCGCCAGGACGAGGCGATGGCGGCTGCGGCGGTGGCGGCCCCCGAGGTCCTCCGGGAATGTGGCTGCAAGGGCATCCGGACCTGTCTGATCTGCGAGCGGCAGCGCGGAGGTGACCCGCCCTGGCAGCACCCCCCGCAGGTGAGGGCTGGGGGAGGGGCCGTGCCACAAGTCCTTTCTTCATATGGGGAAACTGAGGCCCAGACTGGCTACGGAGACTGGCCCGGGATCCACCCGTGTCGGGGGCCCTCGCGGGGGAAGGAGGGCCGTTGCAGGATGAGACGAGCGCTTTGGGGGGTGGGCTTGGAGTGGGGAAGGGGCTGAAGTGCGTGCTGTCCTACCACAACTCCCCTCTGAGCCCCGGGGGGAGTGTGACGGCCGACCTCCCGTAGCCCCCAGGTCTGGGGCTTGGGAGCTTGCGGGAGAGGGGAGACCACCCGGAAAGAGAAGCGGATGCCGAGAACCAGGCAGGGCAAAGTCCTAGACGCCGTTGAGCCGGAGTGGGCAAGCAGGAAATACTAATTAATGAAAAAGAACTCCGAGCCTTTGCGGCCGGCCTGGGCGTTCCCGCGGGGGGAACTGCTTGGGCTGGGGCCTGGGAGGAGCGGGATGCCTCAGGGGCGGGGTCCTGACCACGGGGGGCTCCGTGTGTGGTCCCTGGGTAGGCGAGACCTGTCCTGAGGGCCTCCAGCAGCCGCTCAGGGTTTTAAAGGAAGTTACACGTGATCTTTAGAAAGATCCCGGGATGGGGGGGAAGCAGATTGGAAGGTATGGAGCCTGGGAAGCCAGAGCAGAAACTGTCAGAGCGTCCTTGGCGAAAGCTTGGAAGGTCTTGTGGAAAACAGTCTGGTGATTTCTCAGCAAACTAAAAGTAGAATTACTGTGTGATCCAGCAGTTCTGGGTAGACACCCAGAAATATCGAAAGCAGACACTTGAAGAGATACTTGTACGCCCACGTTCTAGCAGCATTCCTAGCAGCGCTGTTCCCAGCAGCTACAATATGGAAGCAAGCGTAAGTGTCCAGCAGTGGAGGCGGATAAACAACATGTGGCATACTGACCGCGGTGGAATATTATGTGCCTTAAAAAGGAAGGGCATTTTGACACCTGCTGGGACATGAATGGATCCTGAGATCATTATGCTGAGTGAAATGTCAGTCACAAGAGGATAAATAACTGCAGGATTCCACTTATATGAGGTCCACAGAGGACTCAAATTCATAGAACGGCAGGTGCCTGGGACTTGGGGAAAAGAAAGAAGAGTTGTTTAGAGGACAGAGTCTTAGCGAGGGGGAGTGGGGGCACAACAATATGATGGTACCTAACGCTGACCCATACACTTAAAGGTGGTGACGATGACAAATTTTATATGACATATATTTTGCCACAATTAAAGCCTGAGAAGTGCCAAAAGTCTGAACTTTGCCTATGACCAAGGGCGTGGGGGTAGCATCTGTCCAACTTGCTGGTTGTGGGATGAGCAGAAGGTACTGGATGATTCCCTGATTTTAATGTGTTCGTGTGAGGTGCAAGAAGACAGGACACGTTGGTTCACCGATGAAGTGGATAGCAGTGGTCGTGAAACGTAAAGGGGGAGAAAGCAGAATTAACTGGACAGGGTGGGCCTCAGACTGCCTGATAAGTGAGTCCCGAGTCGGGTATAAAAAGCCAGACTTGTGCTAAGTCATTGGCTGGGGGCTGCGTGGGACTAGGATGGCCTCAGCCTGAAACCTGAGGCAGGTCGAGGAAGGCACCACAGCAGGAGGTTGTCAGTTGGGCACTCCTCGAGGATGACAGGCAAGTTCTCTCTTGGGAAAGGAGATTCAGACAGTGCCTCCACAGCCACAGAGGCAGGGCCCAGAGTCATCGCCGCCCCAGAGACGGCGTCTGCCCCACAGCTGCCCAGCAAGCTCGCCCTCTGGACAGCCCCGGGGTCCTATCCTTTAGACACCCCACAGCGACACCAGAACGGTGTGGACTCACAGGCAGCCCCCAGCTCTGCAGCCTTAGGCTAGCTAGTTCCTTAACTTTGCTTGGCCCAGGTCACCTCATTTTTAAAATGGAGAACAGATAGTGGTTACATGGATGCTCTTCCCACATAAGATGAAGAAAGAAAGGCCAGGGCAGAGGGCCCTTCTTAAGAGGCAGCCCCAGGCGGGGGTTCCGCCTCCCTTTGGACTCCAGCTGCTTTCCAAAGTGGCTTCAGAGAACCCCTGGGCGGTGGGCTGCCCCCGAGGAGGCCTCCAGAAGGCACACACCCGGGGGCGGGGGGTGGGGTGGGGTGGGGTGGGGCTTCAGTGGTTCCAAGTCCCTCGTCTTTCTTTTGCAGAAAACGCACCGTTTCATTTACTACTCTGACACTGGCTGGGCCGTGGGGGCCGAGGAGTCTGACTTTGAAGGCTGGGCCTTCCCCTTCCCTGGTGTGACGCTGATCGAGGACTTTGTGACCCAGGAAGAGGAAGCCGAGATGGTGCAGCTGATGGACCGTGAGCCTTGGAAGCTCTCCCAGTCGGGACGGAGAAAGCAGGTAGGCCAGCCGCAGCTGGGGAGGAGGGGAGGGCCAGGCTGGCTGGTCAGAGAGGACTCCCCCCCCCCACCCCCCCGCCTTGGGCCCCTCAGACTCCCTGCCCTGCGTGCTTTTGCTGACTTTCCTCCCAACACCTCTCCCTGTGGCCACAGCACCTCAAGGCCACTAGGGGGGTCAGCTCCCCTGTCCCTGAGGCTTGGGCAGCCAGGGGAGTGGTGCATGGGGTGTATTGGAGGAGGGGGCACAGGCAGGCGTGGCCTGTTCAGCTTCCTCACCAGACACCCCAGACGTGAGGTGGGGCCATCCAGCTGAGGGCAGACTGATGCTCAGGTTGGAGGGTTTCTAGAAGGCCGCCGGTCACCTTCCTACCAAAGTCCTCTCCCCATCAGTTTCGAGATCCTCAGGCCCCCAAGTCCTAGACCTCCCCTCTGTCGGGGATCGCAGCCCTTCTTTCCTGCAGCTGTGTCTCCCAGGACCTGCAGGCCAGGCAACGGATGCCTTCTCTTCTTCCCTCCCCTTCCTGTTCCCTCTCCCTTCTGTGACCTTTGGCGCCAGGCCAGTCATCACACCACTCGCTCTGGTGCTCCTGTGCCCTGTGGCCCCTCACCATCCTGCAACTTCCACCAAACCCCAGCCCAGGTCAGGTCTGCCTCCTGTGGCAGGTGGTCTCCCGGGCCTGGCTGTCCAGCCCAAGCTGGGCTGTCCTGCCCCGGAGGTCACTCCAGTGTCCTCTAGGACGGCCCCCTTGTGGCTTCTCCTCCCGCACCTTCCCCCTTCCCCCAGCTCTCTGGCTGTCTCTCTGCTGACAGCCAGGCCTCTCTGTGCGGGGGGTGTGCTTCTCACCCCACCCAGGCCTTCTCTCCCTGCCCTGGCTCAGAAGGTGCTGTCCGACCTTGCTCCCCTCTGCCCCTAATATCGCCTGTTCCTCAGCTGGACCTTTCCCACCAGACCGCCCGCAGGCTCCACCTCTCACCCCTGCAGCCCAGCTCCTTGGAGGGCTCCTTCATTGTCTTCAGTGCCTCTCCTCCCGTTCCCGCTGAGCACCCCGCTGAGTACCCCGCTGAGTACCTGCACCACTTCCATCCCAACCTCTGCACCCTCACCTAATGGCCAGTTTTCAGGCTCAGTCCTCAGGCCCCTTCTCCTTTTACAGACACTGCCTTGCCGGGCTCCATGAGTCACGGCTCTGACACCGTGCATGTGCTTGTAACTCCCACACTCACGTCTCCAACTGGTTCCCATGTTTGCCAGATCCTAACTGAGCTTTAGGTCTTGGCCCGCGCCTGCAACCCTGCCATGTCCCCATCTCGGCAAATTCCATCTTCCATCTGCTCTGGCCGGAAAGCATGGAGCTTTCCAGATTTCTCTTTCTCCTTGGTAGTCCCTGTGTATTTTCTCCCTTCACACATACCCGGAATCTGAAAACTCAGCCACCCCCCCAGCCCCCCTCTAGGTCCCAGCCCCTGGTTCTGCCACCAGGATTCCTATGGGAGCCTCCTGTGGCCCTCACCTTCCTTCTGTCAGCTTGCCTTGGAGAGGACCCCTCCTCAGGTGGACCTGCTGCTCTGTGACAGATCCGCCAGGCCTTTCCCCGCTGCTCCAGGCAGCCCCCTCCAAGTCACGTCCCTCTGTGCCCTGCTCTTCCAGCCCTCCTCCCTTGCCTGCTGCTGCCTGGGTTGGGGGGGAGCCACTCTGAGCCGTGCTCATGCCGAAGCTGGAAGGAGAAAGACATTTGCACCAGATAGCACCACCCTCCACTGGGGGTGGGGGGACCCAAAGGGGGCAGGAATTGGTGGATAAATGGACATCCCTTGGGTCACAAGTCTGAGGGGTATTCTAGAAAGCTCCTCCCTAATCGTAAAATTCTCTCATTTAACCTGTATGGTTTGTTTTGCTGTATTCATAACGTGCAGCCATATCCAGTGCCTGCTTCTGGAACGTGCCCATCACCCCAAGGAAACTTGTACCCAGCAGCAGTCCCTCCCTGCTCCCCTGGCCCCTGGCAACTGCTAATCTACTTTGCCTCTGGATTTGCCAGCTCTGGACAGTTCATGTAAATGGGATTACATAACACGTGGCCCTTCGTGTTGGCTTCTTTCACTGACCACAACGTTGGCAGCCTGTTGTCAGTGTTGTGTGGCATCTGTGGCTGGATGGTGCTCTGTCGTATGGCTCTGCCATGACCGCCTCACCCACTCATCTGATTGTGGACAGTGGGTCGTTTCTCAGGTTTCTGGCTGCTGTGAACACTCAGGGGCACATGTCTGTGTGGCCAGGAGTAGAATTGCTGGGCCACATGCTAATTTCTCTCTTGTGGTTTGGAGCCCTAGTGATCCCCAGCTTTGACTGCTTGCTGAGGCTGCCTTGGGCTATCCCTCCCTCCCTTGCTACTCTTTCTTCCCACCTCCCAACCCCTTGGTATCATGTCCCCAGGCCTTGTTTGTCTCTCCCTCTGGTTTCAGGGGCACTTCATCCCCCTTCCCTGCTTTATTTTTTCCCTTAGTGTTTATCAACATCAGAGTGTTTGCTGTTTATTTGTCATTGATGCTGGCCTCCTGCTGCTGGAGAGCCAGATCCTGATCCACAGAGTCAGGCAGTTTTGCCAGTCTTGGTCACCGCGATCAGATTCTCCAGGCCTGGTCTGTGATAGCCATCCCCATAAACTCAGACGTTTCTCCACTTCCTCTCTGTCCTCACCCTTCAGGACTATGGCCCCAAAGTCAACTTTCGGAAACAGAAGCTAAAGACCACTGGCTTCAGAGGCCTCCCTAGCTTCAGCCGGGACGTGGTGCGGAGAATGGCCCTATACCCCATTCTGGAGGACTTCCGGCCAGTGGAGCAGTGTAACCTGGACTACTGCCCCGAACGGGGCTCGGCCATCGACCCCCACCTGGATGACGCCTGGCTGTGGGGGGAGCGGCTGGTGAGCCTCAACCTCCTGTCCCCAACTGTGCTATCCATGTCCCGGGAGGCACCCGGCAGCCTGCTGCTCTGTCTTGCCCCTTCCGGCTTTCCGGAGGCCTTGGTGGAGGGCGTAATGGCCCCCAGCAGGTCCGTGCTGTGCCAGGAGGTGGAAGTGGCCGTCCCCTTACCCCGCCGCTCCCTGCTCGTGCTCACAGGCGCTGCGCGGCATCAGTGGAAGCACGCCATCCACCGCAGACACATTGAGGCCCGCCGCGTGTGCGCCACCTTCAGGGAGCTGTCGGCCGAGTTCTGTCCTGGCGGGAGGCAGCAAGAACTAGGGCAGGAACTCCTGCAGATCTCTCTCTCCTTTCAGGGGAGACCTATGTAAGCCACCTCCCCAGGGACAGGAGCTGGCACCGGCTCCAGGGTCGACTGTTGGCCAGGTGCCCAGCACGGGGTCTTTCTCCCCAGCTTCTAGCTTTTAAGAGAAGACTGTTTACCATCCTGACACCACGACAGTATGGGCCCTGCCTGGGAGCCGGTTGTGATGGGACGCGCCTCAGGTCCTGTTTGACCTGTGCCGTGGCCGCCTGTGTGGCTGGCTTGTCAGTTTGAGGGCAGTGGGATCATTTGAGCTTAAACGTGTTGGCACCACCTTTCCTCCTTTTTACCCCTCCCTTAATGAAGTTCCCTGATACCCCATTCTCCAGTTCTTTGATTTGGGATGTGAGTTGGAGAACAGAATTGACAGAAGATTGAAAGTTACTATTTCAGCCTGAAGAGCTGGTGACAGCCTCTGAGTTGGGCTCTGCCTGGGTCACACTTGACCCCCAGGAGGTGTGGGAGGCAGTGAGGAGAGAGGTCTCCTCAGAGTCTGGTCCCACCTCCTTCCCTGCCCTAGGGAGAAGCACGATGTTCACTTGACACTGGTGCTGTGTGGGGTGCTCACCTAGATGGGTGGCCAGCCCTCTTCTGCTGCTTATGAGAAAATACACTCACCAGCCACATGCTCAGCGCCAAACTTTGGGACCAGGGCCCCATCATAGCCCAGGAAAGTTCATGGTCCCCATTGATCTTCGGTCATTCTAGAACCTTCTATGAGCAGTCAGGTGGGGGGCAGTCACTGGCTGCCATACACTGTCTGTGAAGTGGCATCACTCTCGAGACCTGTGGAGAGGCTGCTGGTTTCTAGCGGTTGAATGAGCCCAGCTACAGGGCAGGTGAGCTCAGTTGGAGCAGGAGGGTGGACGGCTTCTTCCCAGAGTTGTGACCCTCGCAGACCCTGCTCTGGGGCCCTCACTGGGCATTCAGATGTAGGCCTGGCTGGAGCTCCAGCCAGTCCTGTTGCATATGAGCAGCTCGGTGGGCTTGCAAGCTTGGTGGCCTACTCCTTGGGGGCCTGTGGGGAGCCTATGCCCTGACAGGCTGGGCCTTAGAGCACCCGTGTGTGGAGCCTGTGAGATGCTGTGCTGACATGTCTGGGAAACGCTGCACACCCAGACCTGTGGGGAAGAGGCCTACGAAGGCTGGGAGAGCCGCTCGGCAAAGCAGCCCATCTCCCCCCAGCATCGCCCAGTGCTTGGCAGACATTTGACAGTGGGCCCCTCCTACAGCCCTGCAGAGCGCACCTCAGGCCCCACTCCATGACGTGGTCTGTGCAGTCCGCAGAGCACACACTGGGACATGCTGCATCATGTCACGGCCAAGTTGGTGGCCCCAGTTTTGTCCTTGAAGCTACAATCTGCAGAGCATCCAGTTCAGTGTGCCCACCTCAGCATCCACTGCTCATGCCGCCACCTAGGTTGGCGTTGGGCGAGGCCCCAGCTGGGGTGGTTCAGCCACAGCCTGAGGGGTACAATGAGGTTGCAGTTCGCTCTGCGTGAACACCAGATACGCGGGCAGACCGTTCTGTCCTAATGCTCTGGCAGTCTCCGACTATGAGGAGAGATGGGCCTTACAGGCACGTACTAATGTGGATGGATCCACTCAGGGTGGCCTCCTGCACCACCTTTCAGAATCAGTCAGGGGAGCTCAGCTGATACTCAGCCTGTCCTGCTCTGAAAGACTGTAAGGAAACTCAGGGCCTTTATTTGTTTGGAGCTGAGGGCGGGGAGGCCCAGGCTGGTCCCATTGGGCAGGGCAGGAGGGTGCTGAGCTCTGTCTAGGGAGCATCCTCTGGGTTATTCCTGTTGAGGCTCACGTAGAACCTGTTTATACTGTGTCCCCAGTAACTGTGGGGGGGGAACCCACAGACACCAGGAGCTGGAAAGAGGGTTCAGCAGGTTGTAAATGGGCCTAGTGAAGAATCTCAGCGCCGTCCTGTGCTGCTCGCCCCAAGGGGCCCCACCCAGGGCTCTGTGGACCCTACCTCTCCACCTTCAGGAGACATGTGAGTCAAGACAGCCTTCTATGGTTTGGCTGCACTCGCTGGGGAAATGGCTGTGGAGTGGACTTGCTGGACACAGGCTTTGTGCCGAACCCAACCCTTCTCCAGACCTTCTGGGATGTGCTCCTCCTGAGCGGAGGGGCATGTGGCCTTGTCCATGCAGTGGTGTCGGCTGCTTGGCATACCTGATTCCTAGGAGCCTCTAGGCTGAAGTGCTGCAGGTTAAAAATAATAAGAGACATCCTTTCCTAGATGGGGGCCTCAATGGATAACAGGTACAAAACAGAATGTCTGGCAGCTTCTCATGAGAGTCACTAGGCTGAAGGAGGGATTCCTGCTGCCTGGCTGGACCCCGGTCCTGACCCCAGCGCCACAAGTACCTGGGATAAAGAAGGCACCACGGGACTAGAGCTTCAGTGGCTTCTCACCTGGAGGGTATGGGGACCTTCAAGCTGATCCTGTTCAGACAGGCTCTGCTGGCACTCAGCCACCTCTGGGGCTGTCCCTTGCTGTGTTTCTAGAAAGAGAGTCCCGCTGGGGAAGGGAAGCAGCAGGCAGAGATGCTCCATTCTCTTGGGAGCCTCCCTGCATGTCTCGGGCCAAGCACCCTGCCAGTCCACTCCCTTGCCTAGGAAGCTTGTTAAGACCTGAGGCCTGTGACCAGCAATCAGGAGGAGGCAGGAGGGGCTGCAGGAGAAGTAGTCTGCCTTCCAGGATGCGGCTGACACTGGGGAGGAGCCAGGGGCTTCCACCTGTCACCTCTGTCCACGGCGCTCCGCCAAGAGCAGAGAGGGCGCTTCACAGCTTCACTGGTTTATTCAGTTCAATCCAGGGTGACTGTTTCAAACCCCCCCCCCCCACAGGACAGGAGTTGTGCACACCATACGTGATCTCCAGTGTCACACATAACGAATGAATCAGCACGAGACAGGTAACCACTTCTGCCGAGCCCTGATGCACTCAGACTCACACAGTTTTCCCCTCAACACACTTTCCTAGAAGACACTAGAATACATCCTGCCCTTGCAGTTTCTAAAATAGAAACGCCGGAGTTTTGGAACTTCTGGTCAGGTACTAAATGGAGACTGTGTTCCACTTTGGAAAGGGCCTCAGCGTATCTGCGGGCGCTTGTTTCCTGAGCACCAGGCAGGCACTGCTCTGAGGAAAATAGGGCAAGCCCTCGCTGGCTCTGGGCGGCGTGCATGGCACCTCCGCCCTGTGGCCACTGCACCTGGAACCTTCACAATCTCGGGTTGAACCTTCAGAAACTGCCTTTCCAGCTTGTAACCTGCCGTCTCTCCACCCACCCCCCAGCCTGCCCCGCTGAGTTGTGTCTGCAGCTGATCCTCCATCTCCCCCGAAGCTCCGGGGCTGCCCTGAGATTCTCCTCTGACCGCCAGTCCCCAGACCCGTGGTCCTGTCTGTTCCCACAAATTCCACTTGCCCCGTGCCCTGGGAGCTGGGAGATCACTCTGGATCAAAGAGGACAAGAACTACATTCTCCGAATCAGCGTTAAAAACACAGATGCGGCGTCTTTCCTACCCAGATGGCACCGTCACAGGTAACCCAGCCACTAGCCCTGTGGGGCCAGGCCGGAAGAGCTGCCTGCAGAGCAAGGATTAACAGGCACCCAGCTGGCACCGGGGGGTGCCTTCCAGTCTGGGGAGCCTGGCACGTCTGGGACACTTGGGGCAGGGGCACCAGACAGCCCCTCTCAAAAGGCTCAGGGAGAGGAAGGGCCCGCTGCCCGCTCCCAGCTGTGGAGAGGAGCCAGCCCGTCTCGTCCCTGCCAGGACACAGAGAGGCTGTCTCACAGTGACGCAGACACAAAGCGAGTACATATGAAGCCAGACAAGCCTTTTCAGCGAAGCTCCAGGAAAGAATAGACATGCAGTAGAGAGCAAGCAAGCAAGGACAGAGGTCTGCAGAAGGCAAGGAACATGCCCAAGAAAGGTGCCAGGCTCTCGTCTGGCTCCAGGGAACCCGATGCCCAGGCTCCCATAATGTCCCGACTTACACCGGTGACTCCCGGCACAGCTCCCAGACAGCCCAGACAGTTGGCATTTTGGTTATGTGTTAAGGTTTATGACCTCCACAGTATGTCACATTCCCAGCAGCTGCAGCCAGGCTAGCCAGGATTTCTTGGCATAGGCAACCCAGACCCCACAGAGTGAGCAGTCCACAGAGGTGCCATCAGAGCATGACGCCTGATGACAAAACAAAGGCTCCCTCTCAAGGCTGCTGCTGGCTGATGTGGTAAACATGGTTTTTAAAAGCAGCTCGGGGTGTGGCATGCTCACCGATAGGCTGAGCTGTCATATATATGTGCACGGCCCAAGAACCGGAACTCAGGTCCAGTGAGAACATCTGAGCCCACCCTGCACATGGCCATGGAAATGTGTGAGCTGGGCCCCTGCATGTGGCTGAGAAGACTGGGGGTCCCTGCAGGGGAGCGTTATGTGGGGTCTTGTCCTCCCTGTGGTTGCTGCATTTGGCCAGCTCAGGCCAAAGGCCTCATCTAGACAGAAAGTCCCCCAGGTTGTGCCCTCCTGCCACCTGGGGTCACAGGCAGGTACCTTTGGCAGCCGAAGCCTGGAGGGGCAGTTGCTTGGGGCTCAGAGGCCATCTTGTAACCCAAAGATAGAGGCCTCTGGACTGTGGGCTCTTTCCCCAACCTGGTGGCTTTGCTGGGTCAACGTGACCAGGGTTCCTGGCTGGCTAGAAGAGGGAATTTGAGCCTGGTGTACCTCAGAGCACCCCTCAGTTAAAAGTCTCCTCAGGTGGGCATCTCACACGGGATGCCTGCAGACGTGCCTCCCCAGCCCTGCCAGGCTTCCACCCTTGAAAGTCTCCCCCTGGGCCTGAGCACTGCCCTCACCTGCCGAGCAGACACTTGATCCAGGCTCCTGCCTCTCCCCTGGAAGCCCGGCCACCTATTCCCCCCAGGACAGGGGAGGGAAGCACCAGGCCAAGCTGTGGGCCACCCTGCTGCCACAAGACCCACCTCAGGTGTCACAGGGCAAGCCCTTCTCTGAAACTCTCAGCCCTCCCCGGACTCTCCCGGCTGCTGGTTCCACGTTGCTGAGATTGCCTGTGACAACCATGTGCTGCTTGGAGCCCGGTCTCCTGCCGCAGGAAATCCCCAGGCCCCAGGCTTTTTTTTTTTCCCCCTCTAAGCTCTTAGCAACCGAGTCTCTCTTTTTACTACAAATTTCTATTTTCTGCGGGAGGATCACCCGGGCCGGGTGTTCCGGAATTCAGACGGGAGGAGGGGATACGACTTTGGTCTCGAACTCTGTGGCAGTGTCACAGTGGTGCTATTCCCGGGAGGCAGACAGGCAGTCGATCCTGGTGGGCTCCGCGGTGGCGGCAGCGCTGGCCTCTGCCCCGGGCACCATGCCCTCACACGACCTGCAGGCTGCGCTCATGCCCATCCAGCTGCACCTTTAGTTTGTGCAGCTCTTCGATCTCACGGTTGTGCCGCTCAGTCTTGTGGCGCACCAGGGAGCGGTAGAAGTGGATGGTGAAGACCACGAAGATGAGGCCCACGGGCACCATGATGATGGTGGACACGAGGGCAGCTTGCCAGCCTGTGTGGCCACCGGGGCCAGGTGGGGGGCCGGGCTGGCGGCGCGCGTCCACGGGAAGGAACTTGATCCAGCAGAGCAGCACCACCTCGGCCAGGAAGAGCAGGATGCCCAGCACGGTGGAGAAGCCCCAGGCCAGCTCGATGTAGGGGTGCATGCGCTCGTGCGGTGACTCACTGATGGAGTTGAGGTTGTGGATGTTGCTCACGGCCTCCACGTTGGGCAGGATGCAGGTGCTGATGAGCAGGGCAAAGAGGTGCACGGCCACCAGCACCGTGGTGCAGGCGCTGAAGGCGATGAGCAGCGGCCTGGGGTACTGGTACTGCGTCTCCAGCTGCACCTCCACCATGGCCACCTGCAATGCACAGTGGGCAGGGCTCAGCCAGGTGCTCTGGTACCAGGGCGCCCGCCTCGCTGTCCACACGCTTCAACTTCTGTTTTCTGCTGAGCTAAAGAACAGCTTGCTAAGGAAGAATCTCACAGGTACAGGAGAGATTAAAGCAGAGGGTGGGGGGTGGGGAACGGGGGGGGCTCACCCCGCCCCCCAGGGGCCTTCCCAGTGCCGACCCAGGACCAAGGCCACGCTTGCCAGGAACCAGTGGTTTGGCTGCTGGCATCAGCAGGGCTCCACCACCGAACGACTGCTGTTTTTCAAAAAATAAACACTAATCTTTCAAAGGGTAACAAGAGAAAAGTAGTAAGGGGGCTCCTGGGGCCCCCAGACTCCCAAGCTGCACACCTGGACAGCCTCACACGGACCATCGGGTATACCTGGCAGTGGAGACCAGACGCCCCGGGGAGGACCCGCATCCTGAAGGCCAAGAATGGTGACAGGAATGAGGGCATAGGTGGTGGGGGTGGGGGTGGGGGTTGGGGGAGGGGGCTGGGCTGGGCAAAGAGCTGAGTCATCACCGCAGTCACAGGAAGCCAACGCCAATAGCTAAGTCCAGAAATGGATAAATCTAGAAACAGCAGTCTGGAGAAAGTTATTCAGAAAGCAGAGGCCTGGAGGCGCTGCCCCTGGGCATGGGGTGGGGCTGCTTATCAGCCTCCCTGCACTCTTTCCTTGGTAAACTGTAAGCATGTATTAACTTTGACAAAATAAAAACTTTTTATCATTTTTTTTTTAACTAAAAAACTTTTTCAGAGGCACCTGGTGGCTCAGTCAGTTGAGCGTCTGCCTTTGGCTCAGGTCATGATCCCAGAGTCCTGCTCAGTGGAGAGCCTGCTTCCCCCTCCCTCTGCAGCTCCTTTGCTGTCTCTCTCTCTTACTCTGTTAAATAAATAAAATTTAAGAAAAAAAAATTTTAAACAATAAAAAATTTTTTTAACTCACAACCCCAAGATCATGAGTCACATACCTTACTGAATGAGCCAGCCAGGCATCCCAAAAACTAGTTTTAAATAAAAGGTAAATGGGCACCTGGGTGGTATAGTTGGTTAAGTGTCTGACTCCTGGTTTCTGCTCAGGTCATGATCTCAGGATCATGAGATTGAGCCCTGCATCCAGGCTCTGATCAGGGGAGTCTACTTGAGATTCTCTCCTCCTCCCGGTACCCCTCCTCACACTCGGGTGTGCTCTCTCTCTCTCCTTCTCTCTCTAATAAATAAATAATTCTTTAAAAGGAAAAAAGATCCACAGAGGGAACCAGAAGCCCCAGCCTATCTCTGTGGCAATGAATAGGCAGCAAGGCAGGATCCACTCACTGCAAGCCTTTCTGAGGGGCTTGCTTTTTCTTTTCTTTTTTTTTTAAAATATTTTATTTATTTATTTATTCATGAGAGAGACAGAGAAAGAGGCACAGACACAGGCAGAGAGAAGCAGGCTCCATGCAGGGAGCCCAACATGGGACTTGATCCCAGGACTCCAGGATCACGCGACTCCAGGATCACACCTGGGCGGAAAGCAGATGCTCAATCGCTGAGCCACTCAGGAGTCCCTCTAAGGGGTTTTCAAACCACAGACTAGGAAGCATGCTCCTGCCTTGCCTCCCCCAGGGGAGACCTGGTCCACAAAGACTGGCTCCCACTGTGCCCTGGCACCCCCCCCCCACTCCCCACCCAGCACTGTGGACCTCCCCGGATGGTTCAGTCTAGGCCTCGCAAGGACTCTGGGGCTCCGGGTACCCAGAGGTAAGAAACCAGATCAGTCAAGGAAGGAGGATGGGAAGGCAGAAAGAAGCCAGAAGGCTTTTCTACCCACTGTTTGCTTCTTAGACCTAAGACATCCCATTTTTTAAATTTTACAAGAAAGATTTCGCTACTTGTAGCAACTACCACCTTCTAGAGTGAGAGACGCATCCTCTCAGTAGAGACGGAACATTGGGTTGGTAAAAAGAAGACACGGCAGTCCTAGTGGACCACAGCTGAACAGAAACTCAGAAGTGATGAGTGCTCCATACGAAGAGTCGCCCCACCACACAGGCTGAGGGGCGCTCTTTTTTCAGTGCCCTTGTGGCCTGAGCAGGCTCTTGTTACCACAAAGGACCTGGCTCAGTTGAAGGAGGTTGTAAACCACAGAGGGCACAGAGGTAAACAAAGATAATTAAAAGGCCTACAGCAGAAAAAATGGTTTTGGTCACCCTTCAGGAGAGAAAAGGCCAAAGGCCTTTTCAGTGTGTTTATGCAAAGGTTTTATGAGGAGGCCTCGGATCGCTGGTTCTGTGTGTTCGCAGAAGGATAAACATGAAGAAACAGGCTCAAGGCTGGGCATAAGTGCTTGCTGTTGGACCAAAGGACAGCTTTGCAATTCTAATTAGGGGATGCATAACAAGAAGGGAGAGGCTCCACGGAGCAAAGTGCCTGTTTTCATTGCTTCTCGTTCCTGCCCCTTGGTCGGCCACGGTGTCTGTGGCTGGAACGCCATCGGACGATCTGTGTGTATGTGTCTGGTTTCTCCCAAGCTGTGCCACCATCTGAATCATTACCTGGCCTACTGGCAGCGAGTTACTCTAGTCAAGTGGGCGAGCTGTTGCTTTCCCCACCCCTGGTCTTCATGCCCACGCTGTTTCTACGGCTTTCCAGTTTTCCCCGTTACGGCTGCACCTCTGGTGTGTACTAGGCTGTGGCAGCCTCCCCGAGAGGAACCCTCTAGAAGAGAAGGTGAGGGCACTGCACAGCTTCTGAAATGTATCTCGGACTACTCAAGGGAGCTGGTAGAGGAGACACTCCATAAATGCTGAAGAAATGAATTATTATGGCAACTGTGACCACCATTGCCAAGCAAGGGATGGATAGCACTCTGTGGTCACTATTTCTTCCTTTCTTTTAAAAGGTCTATTTATTTGAGAAAGAGAGAGAGAGAGAGAGCGTGCACGTGCACAAGCAGGTGGAAGGGCAGAGGCAGAGGGGGAAGCAGATTCCCCAGTGAGCAGGGAGCCCAATGCGGGGCTCGATCCCAGCACCCTGAGATCTGAAGGCAGACGCTTCACAGCTGAGCCATGCAGATGCCCCCGTGGTCACTATTTTCATTCTAAGACCACAACCCTGCGGGCTGCCACTAAGTTTCAACTAGTCCTCCAGAATTCACTCTTTGTTTTACAATCTGATGAACGGGGCTTGTTTTCCAATTTTAAATGAATAGTTTTGGAGGTTTCAATCAGGGCTTCCCCTTTTGTTGGCTGGGAAAACAGTGAAGCTTCTCTAAGTCTGGAGATCCAAATGCTTGGAAGGCAAAGGTCTAAACAGACAGCTGCAGACAAGAAGTGACTTCCAAGACCTGGGCCCCACACACAAAGGAAACTGTCTTACTGCATCAGGTCATGAGATACTCCCCATGATTTGTTTCCCAGTCACAAAAATAATAAGAGCAGGCCAGACAAACAATGCAATCCTGTAATTCTGTGGTGCAGAAAACAAGGTCTCATTTTTATAGTGACGTTTGATACTTCTCACACCTATTCCTTCAAATTAAGCTTGAGAAACCATTCTGTCTTCTGCATGAGATGGAAACCATGGGAAGAAAATCACCATAAGCCACAGTTGTGCACCATATAATCATACCCTTTTGATGTTAAAAATAAGTAAATCAATACCACATAACACCTAAATAAAGCCTTTGCTTTAAACTACAGACCTCAACCCAGACTTATTGACTCTAAGCTTGTGACCTCTGCACACCCTGACTACGCAGGCTCTTGGTTTTCCAAGGGTGGCCTGTACCAATGGGTGAGCAGGCCCCGGCCACAGTGGCCACCGTGGTCACTCTGACAGCTTATTTTCTGTCTCCAATCTGAGCTTTGGCAAAATAACAATCGCTTTTTACATTACAGAAAAAAAAAAATTATTTCTACCCGAGAGACACAGCATACAACAACAGAGAAAGAGGGGGGGGTCACCCTGTTGTTCTCACTCAGAATCCTGTCATCTTCAGCCTCTGGCACAATCCCCTGAAGGGATGTGGGTCAGGGCGTTGGAGCCAACAGGTGACATGGCCCTTCTCAGGGCACGTGCTTCTGCTCGAGACTGACTCTTGTCCTGGGGAGTGACTCAAGGAAAACTGCGGCCTGGCAGCCAGGAAGTAGGCCAGAGGCTCTGCTTCGTCACTAAGAGGTCACATTTGAGGGGCACTGGCATCCTGAGCTGGGCTACCCTGAGCAAACCCCAATCCATCCCACAGTCCTACTCAAATCCTTCAGATTTCCAAACTCTTGGTTTGGTGGTACCTGGGATGGGGCAGACATGGGGACCTTCCTCCCTTACACTGAAGCTATTTCAATTGCTCTCAACTTCCCTGCCAGGTAACTGCTTTGTGGGAATGTCAGAAGGGGACATCCTCGGGCCTCTGGGGCTTGGGGACTCTCCTGGGCCCCTAGACAACCCCTCCGGTTGACGGAGAAGCCCTCCTCGCAGGTGCTGAGCTGGGGGGGACCTCCTAAGGGTCCATCCTTGCAGCCAGTAGGGCCTAGAGGGAGTGCTTTGCTCCCTGAAGCATCACGGGGTGGTGACAGCAGAAGCCCACTTTGCAGGTGGCAGGCCCCACCACATGTCTACACTCACCATGGCGAAGCCCGAGAGGAGGGCAGAGGTCCGGCTGGAGGCCTTCAGCTTGGCTCTGCTCAGGTAAAGTTTCCTCCAGGACAGGGCCTGCACAGAGTGGTGGTTGGAAGTGACCAGTTCCAGGTAGCTGCGGCGCACCCAGTCTCGGTAATCCATGCCCTTGTGGCCCGGTTCAGAGCAGGCAGGAGTGGAGGGGTCCACAGGCACGTTGAGCTCAGCGCTCATGGTGGGAGCCAGGCTGGGGGCAGGAGAGAAACACTCTTAGGCATCCCAGAGGGTTCCCGAGACCTGGAAGAGCCAGAAGCCAGGCAAGTTAACTTTCTCTGGGACCTGCTGTATATACCCTACACCGGGGTGGTGTGAGTATGATGCACCCTGAGCCCTGCACAGGATTGTGGGGACCCTCTGCTGGGGAGGAGGGCCAGGAATGCATTTCTAGTAATTCCCCACCTGGTCACTATCCATTGTGTCTCCACAAAGCTAATAATCCAGCTTCCATCCTATATCTGAAAGGCTCCAAGCAAGTGTGCCTTGTGGGTGAATGCAACTCCAATGTTAGCCAAAAGCACCTAACGAATCCTCCAATTTGTCCCCTATCTTCAGGGAATAGGGAGTTACAACAAGATCCTAGGATCTAGTTGCCAAGCCCGGATTTGATCCTACTGTGTGACCCTGGGCATCTTCCAGTGGGGACATCCCTACCCTCACATGACACTTAAACAAAACAACTGCTTCTCATGCCCAAGTGCCAATCATGAAAAACACATTTCCAAACAGGGTCTCAAATCCAACTTAGATTTTAATCAGTGCAGTTCACCCCCAGAAATACTTGGTTTACGTAACTAAAGGAAAGCCACATCCAGGCTGTAATGGAAACTGTGAGCAAAAGGAAAAACCGAATCTACCGAGAGGAGCACATTTGACGGAGAAATGGAGGCTACAGACGTCTGCAGTCATCCCAGGTAGATACCTGGTTTGACAGTAACACAGAATAAAGATCAGAAGGGCCAATCTGTCAAGATTTGTGAATTTAAACCCAAATCTCCACTAATCCAAATGGGGGATTGGCGGTCTCATGTGGCCCAAGGGGCTGGCCCATGCAGCAGCATGCCTGGATCGGCTCTAATTAATCTGTAGGGCAGACTTCAAGGGCACAGGCACCTCACAGCTCACTTGGCATCAGATATTAACTTGTACGTTCAGGCCCGCATAGGCCCCATGAAAAGCCTACTTAAGGCTATTAAGAGCAGATCAGTGTTCCTAGATCCCAGGGAGCATGGCGGGGGGGGGGGGGGGGGGGGGGCGGGGAATGCTTCCAGGGTCAGTGGCTGTGGAGATGTGCCAGATTTGATCCACCCATGACAATCTCTAAAAAGGTTCTATGGGAAGATCCTGCAGTTGGGGAAAAGCTCTCTCTTTGGGGTGCCTTCCTCTTTGCTCTCTGCCAGGCTGCAGAGGTACAGCTTTTACTGACCAACAGGACCCTGGGGAACAGTTCTGTATTCTATTTCTGCCAGGGGATACCAGTTACTAGGTCATGTCTAGGAATGTTGACTTGGGAGCCTTGGTCACTGCCCCTTCCCCGTGTCTGCAGCCAGCACCACTGCTTTCACGCACTTCAATCACTGAAACATCCCTTCCCTTGGGGAGAATTAAGAGATATGCTGCTCACTAATCCATCAGTTAACTCCAAATAATTTAGAATACCATCATCTGGAAATTCACTTTTCCTCTTTTCTTTTCCCATATGTAACAAAGGTGAGCCGACAGGTATGAGGAGGACAGCATATGGCCGTGTGGATGGGTGGAAGGCACAACCTTTGCCCCCTCAGAGAATCCCTCCGCCAACCTCCATCGCACAGATGCTCACTGGGATCTCAGGTCAGGCTGCATTTGTTACTTAGGCATCAACGATGAAAATGGTGAGGATCCTATGAGTCCCTCCAAGGAACTCTGCCCAGTGGGGGAGCAATTTAAGGGGGTGATTCTCACCTATTGAGCTAAATGCTGCTTTAGTGAAGAAGGTGTGAGAGCCAAGGGAGCAGAGGAGGGGGTGGCTGCCTCAGCCTCGGGAAGGGAGATGTCCTTACTGGGGAGCAAGGAGAGGGGATGAGGACGTAAGTAGTAAAGGCAGCACTGGCAAAGAGGGGCCCTCCCTCAAAGAAGAGATGCTGCCTGCATGGGAGGGTTCCAAGAGGCAAGGGAACATGACAGAAGGCTGGCTGCAGAGGGGGTCAGGGAAATGTGGGTGGAAGGCAGGATGTGGGGAGGTGGGGGACCGGGGGCAGCCCAGGCAGTATGAGTATGACTGTGCCGGGCTCCCTGGAGGGGCCGGGCTGCAGGGGCTTTGAAGGAACAGTGAAGGGGGCAGCCTGGGGTCAGGCTGGTCTCGGTGACTGCTGAAATGGTGGCTAAGGGACAGGAGGGCCTGGGAGCCTCCAAAGAGGTAAAGGCATGTGTGGGGTGAAGAAGAGGAAAGCCCAAGGACCATCAGTGGGCGTGGGCTGGGCTGACATTGGAGAGCGGACAGGGAGGGCTCTGGGTGCAGTAAGCGCTGACCACGGCCTCTGGGCAGTGGCCAGGCAGTCTCGGGCCTGCAGATGTCCTCAGAGTGGCAGGGAATGGAAAGAAGGGCGGGCTGTGTGCTGCTGGGAGCCTGGGTCCTGAGGAGGCCTCTGGGTCCTGGAGATAGAGAGGCCACTTCCTGCTGAGGGAGCAGCCTGGACGGGATTCATATCCATCCCAACGTCCCAGCCCCAGGGTCCCACCTTGTGCCAGTCCTCCTCCCCCTACCCCAGGGAGAGGCAGAGTCCCGTCCTCACACTCCGGATGGAGTAGGGGGTGGGGTGCGGCAAGATGGAAATCGACATTTCTGTCAGGTGGCAGAGGCTCCAAAAGGTGCTCTCCTGCCTGAACTTTGAAGGGTTTTTTTGTTTTTTATATATAAGGGGCAGTCACAGAAAAAGGCTCCTGGAGAGTAACGGTGGCTCTCTAAAGATGAGCTGCCCTCCTTGGCAGGCCTGTCTGAAACATTTCCAGGGGGCAGTTTTGGGGTTTGCCTGTCTTAACTTCCTTTAAACATGTGGGGCACGAGCAATGGCGAGTCTGTTCCTGACTCTGTCTTTGTCACACCCGCGGGGGGAGGGCCCCCCGCAGCCCCCACGGGGGGGTTCCCGGAGGCATCCACCTGCATCTCTGTCCCTTCCCCTAGGGAAGCCTCAGTAGCCGCAGGACCAGCACTCGGCCCCCGCCCCCGCCCCCGCCCCCGCCCTCCGTCCCGGATCTCAGCGCCTTCTCAGCGCCGCACCCGCCCGGGGATCCTGTAGGGTTGCGGCCACCTGGCCCCCCCAGCCCCGCAGCCACCCCATCCCAAGCTAGCCCAACAGAAAGCCCATCCCCTCCCCTCGTCGAGTCTCCCGGGGCAATTCCGGTCCCCTAGCAGGGCGGGGTGCCCCCCACGCCCCGCCAACCCCCCACGGCGAGCACTCACCGAGCTGCCCCGCCCGCCTGCTCGCCCGGCTCGGCTCCGGCTCGGGCTAGCGGCAGGCGGTGTGGCCGTGCTGCCCTGCGGCCCCGCGGCCCGGCCGGGGCGCTGAGCGCGGCCCCCTCCCTCCTTCCGCGCGTCCCGCCGGGTTCCCCCGGCCCCGCCCCCGCCGGCTGCCCCGCCCCCGCGGGCCACCGCAGCCGCTGCCAAGGCAACGGCGCGCCGCCGTCACGTGGTTGGCCCGTGGGGGCGCCACGAGCCACGTGACCTGGCAGGCCGGGAGGGGGGGAGGGGGGGAGGGGAGGCCGGGGCGGGGCGGCACTCGCGGCCCCTCCTGGGGGGCCCCGCGGCGTGGACCGGCTCTAGCCTGGACCACCCGGGCCGGACGCCGGGGAGCAGGAACCGCCAAAGGTGCGCATCTCTCCGGTTCCTGGGCGCGCCGTGGGCCGGGAACCCGGGTTGGCGCGCGGCGAAGGGGGCCGGAAGCCTGGGCATCCCTCGCGCCCACCACCCCCTCCTTCTCCCGCGGGGGCGCCGGCAAACGATGCGGCTGCGCTTTCCCTGGACAGCAGGCCGAGGGCAGGGTGAGCCCTGCTCGGTCTGTGCGGGAGTCTCGGCACAGGGAGAGCACGGAGTCTCCGGGGTGAGCCCCAGAGGATGCCCAGGACCAGCCATGGCCTTTAGGAGGGGCGGGGAGAGGGAACAGGTGTCCCATTGTCAGGCCGCCGGGCGGGCGGGGTGAGGTGGCTGGAGTGGGGAAAGCTACACCCATTTGCCAGGGTGGACGGTGGCGCGGGGTGGAGCAGGCAGGAAGGTCAGGTGGTCGCCTGGTCCGCAGCCCCCACCCACAGGCCCAAGTGGACACGCGGGGTCCAAGCCCGGCTGCAGCTCGCTGGGCCCCTGATGGGCGTCCCCCGAGCTCCTCTACTGAGACACTCAAACAGGAACATTCTTTTCAGGAAGTGCATACGAATAATTAAGAGGTGAGATGGGTTCATATCAAGACCCGTGCCGGACCGCCCCTCACAGTCCTTCCCCTGTGCCCTACATAGGATTTTTCCATCTGTCACAACACTATCCGACAGTGACACATTTATCTAAAGGAAAGAAAAATTCCACTCGTGTCAAGCAGTCCAAGTTTTCTGACAACTGTTAAGAGGGGAGGTGAAGGATGTCAGGCCAAATCCATTTCTCTCTCAAGATATATTTTAGAGGGCATTGCTGAGAGCCAGAATGAGACCTTTTAATTCAGGAAGACATTTAAAAACAGACCACAGCATAGGAAAATCCCAGGGTCTGATTACTCACCCTCCACCCCTCCGCCCAACACACACACACACACACACACACACACACACACACACACAGACAGATGGGTATAGGAAAGGGATCATTTGAATTTCAGGGGACAAAATTCTCAAAACCAACAGCTGTTTGTAAAATGATCTGGAAAACAGGAAGAAACCTTTTGTAAACTAGAGTCATTGCATCATACATGACCATTCTTTCCACAACAGAATCACTTGCTTCAGTTTTCACCGTTGGAGTCTGCACATCTTTTAGAAAGCTTCTGGTGCCAGTCAGTGGTGCCTCCACCCCCAAGCACACTTATCGAGCATGCCCAGACAGAAGCAAAATCTAAGTCATCATCACCAGTGCTTTTAGGAGCTGGTTTCCTAACCAAACACAGAAAATGGCTTTTTTTTTTTTTCCTCCCAGAAGATTAAGGAGGGTGCTTGCACTATGCTGAACAGAGAGGAACAGTTAGAATAGGATTAGTTGGAGGGCCCCTCAGGTGCACAGCTACACAGAGAAGGAGGGTCGGGCAAGGCCCATGGGTACCAGCCACCCAGCATGTCTGGGTGATACTCCCCGGGCTGTGATTTCCCGAGTAGTTTGGCCACAGCAAGTTGCTCCCTCTTCTCAGGCCTCAGCTTGAAAATCACCCAATTCTCCAAGGCACTGGAGGGGCTGGTTGAGCTCTGATCTTCCCATCAATACACACCCTCCTGCAGTGAAGACCGTGGCCCCTGCTTCCCTCCTCCCTGGGTCTTTTTTTTTTTTTAATTTTTTTATTTATTTATGATAGTCACAGAGAGAGAGAGAGAGAGGCACAGAGACATAGGCAGAGGGAGAAGCAGGCTCCATGCACCGGGAGCCCGATGTGGGATTCGATCCTGGTCTCCAGGATCGCGCCCTGGGCCAAAGGCAGGCGCCAAACCGCTGCGCCACCCAGGGATCCCCCTCCCTGGGTCTTATTCAGGATGGCTGCTCAGCTGCTCTGGCCAATGTAGCCAGTCCCCTGACAGTTCTGCCCCTTGGCTGTTGACTCCTATGGTTAGTCCTTGTCACTGCTCTTTAGGAGATCTTAAATTCACACCTCCCACTTCCTGACCCTTTCTCACTCCACTGCCAGCCTGTGCTGAGACACGCCCAGCCTCCCCTCCCACTCAGCCCCACTCCTTCCGACCTCTGACCTCTCCTGCCACCGCCTTCCGCCACCTCACACCACTCTCTTCAAGCGAGCTGTCATCACCACTTCCTTCCCGGCCCTCTACAGCACACTGCCACTGTGATGCTAACTCCAGGACAGAGTTCAGCCGTGTCCTTTCATCCAGAAACGACTCTGTCCTTGTTCTGGTGACCTCACTAACCTGTGCAGGCCCCCCCTCTGCTGTCTGTCCCCTAGATGTGTTTCTCCATTACCCTCCCCAGGGGGTCCCACCCACTCCCCTTGTTTCAAGGAGCCTGTTGACCCCAAATGGTCACCTCCAGCCCAGATCCCCCGCAGCCTGGCAGGGCATGTCCCCAGGCCCCCCCGCTTGCAACACTCCCAGCTGAATTAATATTTCCTCACTTGCCTGCTCCACTTCCTAGGTCACGGGTCTTGACATTACAGATCTGCTGCTGTCATTCCTGATTCCTCCCAACCCCATCCAGTCCTATAAATTCTCCTGTTTCTCCCTGGTCCCACCAGTCTCACACTACTTCAGGCCCTCGTCACCTCTACTCTGCATTCCTGCAAAAGCTTGTCCCCTTCCCATCTAATCTCTGCACTGTAAGGTGGAAAAATCCCCATCTCTTCACGCCCCCCCCCCAGTCCACCACTCCATCCTTCAGTTTTCCCTCCAGTTCCCTTAACCTAGTTATCCAGGCCATGACAGGACATCTGCTACTAATCCTTACTCCACTTGCTTTCTTAGAACTGCTATGAGCAACCCCGGAGCTCAGCCCAGCCCTATCAATACCCCGGAGGCCTGGGTCACATGCTGCCATACTGCACCCAGTGCTACGCACCATCACAATGACCTTTCTCTTGTCTGTGTCTCTTATCAGATCTGGAGCTCCTTCAAGGCAAGGTCTACATCTTGCTCACCATCATCCCATTGCTGAGCCAAGTACACTTAGGAATCCTTCAGATTAAGTTTTTGGTCCTGTTCAACAAACATCTGCTATATTCTATGGAATAATTGAATCCAGGTCTCAGGACCTGCCCCAGGGTGTTCTCTTTACTGAAATATATTAAAATATGGTAATTGTAGCTCACTTGAGTCAAGTGTGCCAAACAGTAGACATGAACGAGCTTCCACAGGGAGAAGGCACACCTGTTTCCCACACCGCTGGAGGTTACGGTGCCCTCCCAGTTCGCTTTCCAAGCAGTCTGCAAGCGGATTTAGTTATATTCCTATTTCTGAAAGTCGACAAAACCTCACTCTAACTCAACTGAATAATTTGCTTTTTCCAAAAAGATACATGTCGAAAATGGGAAAGGAAACTTGAACTAGTAACAGCGCTCAACAGGTTCCAAACCAGTGTTTCTGAAGGTGTGGGGGTGCCTGTGGCAGAAGCTGTGGTGGGGAGAGGCGAGGGAGGGGCCCTGTCTGAAATGCCTGAGTTGCGAGGAGACAGCCTCTGGGATGTGGCCAGGGAGCCTGGATGTCTGAGGCAGGCTCTGCTGCTGCCTGGAGCATCGCACCTGCCCAGACTCTTCCTGCTACAGGTTGTTTTTCGGGTATGAGCGACTTCCCTGTTCGCTTTCAGGCACTGAGATTTGCTCAGTCACCTACCTGGACATCACTCAGCGCCTGTGATGTCCCAAGCACGGTGCAGGCACTAGAGGTACAGCAAGAGAACAGGACAGGCAGGTCCTTGCTCTGGTGGTGCTCAGAGTTGAGTGGGGATGTGAGGGATGCTGGTGTGGCAGGGTGCAGACCAGTAAACAAGGGTTGTGTGCTAGGAAGACAACGAAACACAACCAGGTGGTTGGAAAGCCAAGACCTGACAGCACAGGAAGAGGCAGAGCAGGAGTGAGGATAGTGGGGCATGGACCCAGGCAGAGGCGGAGGTTCCAAAGGGAAGCCAAAGCCACAAATTCAGAAGACAGGGGCAGCCCGGGTGGCTCAGCGGCTTAGTGCCACCTTTGGCCTGGGGTGTGATCCTGGAGACTCGGGATCAAGTTCCACATCGGGCTTCCTGCATGGAGCCTGCCTCTCCTTCTGCCTGTGTCTCTGCATCTCTCTGTGTGTCTCTCATGAATAAATAAATAAAATGTTAAAAAAAAAAAAGTTTTTTTAAAAAAAATTCAGAAGACATCGGTGAGGGTGGTATTTAAAGCCATGTGTTAGATTCAGATCTCCTGGGGCCTGACCATAAAAGGCAGTGAGTGCACTGGGTCACCCTAACATTTAGAATTTGAGCAGAGAAGCAAACCAGGGAAAGGCAGAAAGCAGTACTGTCAGGGATGCTAAGGGTTTAGGTTTCTAAACTGTACAGATGCTCCCAGGCCCTGGATGTGGCCAAATTGAAAGCTTTCAGTGGAATGATGGGGATGAAAACTTGGGAGAGGTGGAAGCAAACACAGAACTCTTTGGGAGTTCAGCTGAGAAGGGAGGAGATAAATGAGGTGGTAGTTTGCAGGAGAGCCTGGAGCCGGCCTTTGCTCTGTTGTCACAAATGGGAGACAGCAGAGCTGCTTGCAGCTGGGAGGGAGGGGGCGCACCAGGCAGGGTACTTGCAGGGCAAGCCTGGCAGTGCATGTGGTGGGGCAGGAGGGCTTGGGCTGAACTTCTGCTTTCTCTCTGCTCTGGGAGACAATTTCTTGCTGAGGGGGAAGAAGGCCGAGAAAGGACATGTAAAAGC